CGGACGCAACAACACTCCATAGGAAACTGTTAGATAACTATCAAAGATCTTGGCGCAAAAAAAAAATAAATAAATTATAAATCAATTCAAATCAAAAATAAAAATAAAATAAAATTTAGCATGAAAACATTTTTTAAAATGTACAATGCTGGCCGTTTTGGGTAAAGATTTCAATTTTGGATTATTATTTCCAGGTGACGTCAGATCCGGTTGGAGAGGATAACCCAAAGCGTTTAAGCAATAACGTAAGATTTGAAGGTGAGAAGTGCTTTGGTCCGTCAGTACTATTTTTTTATAGCTCTATGGCAGAGGCGCAGCGTCCCCTTCCCGGCGCCCGGGGACAAACTTTCGATTTGCACACCCCCTCAAGCTTTCAATTTATTTTTCCAACCCATTTTGGCGCCCCCTAAGGTCGGCGCCCGGGGACATATGTCACCCCCCCCCGCCCTCCCCTCGCTACCCCTCTGCTCTATGGTGTCAACTGGAATAGTGCGATCGGTGTGTGAATTGTGGGGGTGTGTAGGGGAAGCTCTTCACGATTTCAAAACGGTTCCAGAACCGGAAATGAAGTTTACGCATTTAGAATATGTATGCGCCATGAAACGTGTGTCTAAGAAGTTTTCTCTGTTGTTGTTTTATTAAAACATCTTTGTCTGGGGTGATTCGGATTTTTCTTATATCATTTATGGCTAACTGATATTCCAGCCTTCGGTCAGTTATATCATGCATGATGTTGCGAACTTCTTTCATTCAACACCACAGGTTCTACACAGTTCTAACACCACAGGTTCTACACAGTTCTAACACCACAGGTTCTACACAGTTCAAGTAGTTAATTCAGATCACCTTTATTAACAAATAAACGTTACGTCCCCTAAGCCAGCCGCTAATAAAAAGCCCTCTAACAATAGTTTATACCCGCATTCGATCTTGGTGTAACAATACATAAACACCCCGAGGTTAATTCAACTCACACACGCACTCTCTAACCTATTCTAATCTAACCTACAAATGACACCTAACACATGGCTAAATGCTATACTAGCCCTGTGTCACCAATATTTTTCATGGTGTCACCTATTCGCTGCATTCCCCATTTATGCAAGACTACTTCCCCCCCCCCCCCCCACATACGGTAATGATTGTTTTGTTTTCTTGTAGTGACGTCACGCTGGGTTCAAAACCTGACCTTTAAGCTGGTGGCGTACTCAGGTGGTCGAGTGTTGAACACGTTAGAAAGCGAGGCTGACACGTCGCTCAACTGCAGCTCTAACGTGAGCACGACGTTTATGTACATCAATGGTGAGTACTCATTTTTCCTTCATGTATGTTGGAGGAGAGGTTGGGAAGGGGGTGGCCTCGTGGTAGAGCGCGCGCTTGCTAACCCTAATTTCGCAGTTCAGTACCCCGGCTTAATAAAGTCGGTTGTTCATGAACAGAATTGACCCCTTCCTCCTATTTTCAAAATTCAAATTTCAAGTATCAAACTTCGTCTATCCAACTTTGAATTTCAAACCATTTTGAATTATCAAACTTTGTCCAAATATTTTTTAGCTTGAACAAGACGAATATAATTGTATAGATCAAAGTGTATGCATTAATTTTTGTGTATCAAACCTCGTGTTTCAAACTTAGTGTATCAAACTATTTTAATGAATCTAATTTTTTGTATAAAACTTTTGAATTTTCACACATATTTATATTTATTAAAACCTTATGTTATAACACTGTATCAAACCTTGTGTTCTAAAACATCTTGTATCAAACCTTGTGTTATAAAATTCCGTGTATCAAACCTTGTTATAAAATTCCGTGTATCGAACCTTGTTATAAAACTCCGTGTATCAAACCTTGTGTTATAAAACCACAGAGAGAAGACACTATGAGAACCCCTCCGGTGTTCGCCTGGTTAACATCCACGTCTTCGCCACACAGGGCCCGAGTTCAAATCCCGCCCAGTGCAATCGACCACTGTGTCACAACTTTACCGTGGTCTACCACTTCCCCCCTGAGTCAGTCAACGTCATCATCCACTCTACGTCACACAGGTCGGTGACCCGTGGGGCCGGTCAATAGCTGGGTGGGGAAGGGGGGGGGGGGTTAGCAGATAGCTGGGTGGGGAAGGGGGGGGGGTAGCAGAAAGCTGGGTGGGGAAGGGGGGGGGTTAGCAGAAAGCTGGGCGGGGAAGGGGGGGGGGGTTTAGCAGATAGCTGGGTGGGGAAGGGGGGGGTAGCAGAAAGCTGGGCGGGGAAGAAGGGGGTTTAGCAGATAGCTGGGTGGGGAAGGGGGGTTAGCAGATAGCTGGGTGGGGAAGGGGGGTTAGCAGATAGCTGGGTGGGGAAGGGGGGTTAGCAGATAGCTGGGTGGGGAATTGGGGGGGGTTGCAGAAAGCTGGGCGGGGAAGAGGGGGGGGGTTAGCAGAAAGCTGGGCGGGGAAGAGGGGGGGTTAGCAGATAGCTGGGTGGGGAATTGGGGGGGGGGGTTAGCAGAAAGCTGGGCGGGGAAGGGGGGTTAGCAGATAGCTGGGTGGGGAATTGGGGGGGGGGGGGGTTAGCAGAAAGCTGGGCGGGGAAGAGGGGGGGGGGGTTTAGCAGATAGCTGGGTGGGGAAGGGGGGTTAGCAGAAAGCTGGGCGGGGAAGAGGGGGGGTTAGCAGATAGCTGGGTGGGGAAGGGGGGTTAGCAGATAGCTGGGTGGGGAAGGGGGGGGGGGGTTAGCAGAAAGCTGGGCGGGGAAGAGGGGGGGTTAGCAGATAGCTGGGTGGGGAAGGGGGGTTAGCAGATAGCTGGCTGGGGAAGGGGGGTTAGCAGAAAGCTGGGTGGGGAAGAGGGGGGGGGGTTAGCAGATAGCTGGGTGGGGAAGGGGGGTTAGCAGATAGCTGGGTAGGGAAGAGGGGGGGGGGTTAGCAGAAAGCTGGGCGGGGAAGAGGGGGGGTTAGCAGAAAGCTGGGTGGGGAAGGGGGGTTAGCAGATAGCTGGGTTGGGAAGAGGGGGGGTTAGCAGAAAGCTGGGTGGGGAAGAGGGGGGGGGGGTTAGCAGATAGCTGGGTGGGGAAGAGGGGGGGGGGTTAGCAGAAAGCTGGGCGGGGAAGAGGGGGGGTTAGCAGAAAGCTGGGTGGGGAAGGGGGGTTAGCAGATAGCTGGGTGGGGAAGAGGGGGGGGGTTAGCAGAAAGCTGGGTGGGGAAGGGGGGTTAGCAGATAGCTGGGTGGGGAAGAGGGGGGGGGGTTAGCAGAAAGCTGGGTGGGGAAGAGGGGGGGTTAGCAGATAGCTGGGTGGGGAAGAGGGGGGGGGTAGCAGAAAGCTGGGTGGGGAAGAGGGGGGGGGGGGTTAGCAGAAAGCTGGGCGGGGAAGGGGGGTTAGCAGATAGCTGGGTGGGGAAGGGGGGTTAGCAGATAGCTGGGTGGGGAAGAGGGGGGGGGTTAGCAGAAAGCTGGGTGGGGAAGAGGGGGGGGGGTTAGCAGAAAGCTGGGCGGGGAAGAGGGGGGGTTAGCAGAAAGCTGGGTGGGGAAGAGGGGGGGGGTAGCAGAAAGCTGGGTGGGGAAGAGGGGGGGGGGGGGGTTAGCAGAAAGCTGGGCGGGGAAGAGGGGGGGTTAGCAGAAAGCTGGGTGGGGAAGGGGGGTTAGCAGATAGCTGGGTGGGGAAGAGGGGGGGGGGGTTAGCAGAAAGCTGGGTGGGGAAGAGGGGGGGGGGTTAGCAGAAAGCTGGGTGGGGAAGGGGGGTTAGCAGATAGCTGGGTGGGGAAGAGGGGGAGGGGGGGTTAGCAGATAGCTGGGTGGGGAAGGGGGGTTAGCAGATAGCTGGGTGGGGAAGAGGGGGGGGGGGTTAGCAGAAAGCTGGGCGGGGAAGAGGGGGGGTTAGCAGAAAGCTGGGTGGGGAAGGGGGGTTAGCAGATAGCTGGGTGGGGAAGAGAAGGGGGGGTAGCAGAAAGCTGGGTGGGGAAGAGGGGGGGGGGTTAGCAGAAAGCTGGGCGGGGAAGAGGGGGGGTTAGCAGAAAGCTGGGTGGGGAAGGGGGGTTAGCAGATAGCTGGGTGGGGAAGGGGGGTTAGCAGATAGCTGGGTGGGGAAGGGGGGGGGGGGGTTAGCAGATAGCTGGGGAAGAGGGGGGGTTAGCAGATAGCTGGGTGGGGAAGGGGGGTTAGCAGATAGCTGGGTGGGGAAGGGGGGGGGTTAGCAGATAGCTGGGTGGGGAAGTGGGGTTAGCAGATAGCTGGGTGGGTAAGAGGGGGAGGGGGGGTTAGCAGATAGCTGGGTGGGGAAGGGGGGTTAGCAGATAGCTGGGTGGGGAAGAGGGGGTTAGCAGATAGCTGGGTGGGGAAGGGGGGTTTAGCAGATAGCTGGGTGGGGAAGGGGGGTTAGCAGATAGCTGGGTGGGGAAGTGGGGTTAGCAGATAGCTGGGTGGGGAAGAGGGGGAGGGGGGGTTAGCAGATAGCTGGGTGGGGAAGAGGGGGGGGGGTTAGCAGAAAGCTGGGCGGGGAAGAGGGGGGGGGGTTAGCAGAAAGCTGGGCGGGGAAGTGGGGTTTAGCAGATAGCTGGGTGGGGAAGGGGGGTTAGCAGAAAGCTGGGTGGGGAAGAGGGGGGGGGGGGGTTAGCAGAAAGCTGGGTGGGGAAGAGGGGGGGGGGTTAGCAGAAAGCTGGGCGGGGAAGTGGGGTTTAGCAGATAGCTGGGTGGGGAAGGGGGGTTAGCAGAAAGCTGGGTGGGGAAGAGGGGGGGGGGGGTTAGCAGAAAGCTGGGCGGGGAAGAGGGGGGGTTAGCAGATAGCTGGGTGGGGAAGGGGGGTTAGCAGATAGCTGGGTGGGGAAGGGGGGTTAGCAGATAGCTGGGTGGGGAAGTGGGGTTAGCAGATAGCTGGGTGGGGAAGAGGGGGGGTTAGCAGATAGCTGGGTGGGGAAGGGGGGTTAGCAGATAGCTGGGTGAGGAAGAGGGGGGGTTAGCAGATAGCTGGGTGGGGAAGGGGGGTTAGCAGATAGCTGGGTGGGGAAGGGGGGTTAGCAGATAGCTGGGTGGGGAAGGGGGGTTAGCAGATAGCTGGCTGGGGAAGAGGGGGGGGGGTAGCAGATAGCTGGCTGGGGAAGGGGGGTTAGCAGATAGCTGGGTGGGGAAGGGAGGTTAGCAGATAGCTGGGTGGGGAAGAGGGGGGGGGTTAGCAGAAAGCTGGGCGGGGAAGTGGGGTTTAGCAGATAGCTGGGTGGGGAAGGGGGGTTAGCAGATAGCTGGGTGGGGAAGAGGGGGGGGGGGTTAGCAGAAAGCTGGGCGGGGAAGTGGGGTTTAGCAGATAGCTGGCTGGGGAAGGGGGGTTAGCAGATAGCTGGGTGGGGAAGGGAGGTTAGCAGATAGCTGGGTGGGGAAGGGAGGTTAGCAGATAGCTGGGTGGGGAAGAGGGGGGGGGGGGGGTAGCAGATAGCTGGGTGGGGAAGGGAGGTTAGCAGATAGCTGGGTGGGGAAGAGGGGGGGGGGGGTAGCAGAAAGCTGTGCGGGGAAAGGGGGGTTTAGCAGATAGCTGGGTGGGGAAGAGGGGGGGGGGGTTAGCAGAAAGCTGGGCGGGGAAGGGGGGGGGGGTTAGCAGATAGCTGGGTGGGGAAGGGAGGTTAGCAGATAGCTGGGTGGGGAAGAGGGGGGGGGGGGTAGCAGAAAGCTGTGCGGGGAAAGGGGGGTTTAGCAGATAGCTGGGTGGGGAAGAGGGGGGGGGGTTAGCAGAAAGCTGGGCGGGGAAGGGGGGGGGGGTTAGCAGATAGCTGGGTGGGGAAGTGGGGTTTAGCAGATAGCTGGGTAGGGAACGGGTTGAACGGTTACTTTAGGGGTGGGGGTGAGGGTTTTTTACGTTTGGCTTGTTGAGGAGGGGGGGTCTTACGTTTAACTGGGGGGGGGGGGGGGTAGTCGCCAGCTACCATTTGTTGTTTCTTCCATGAAATCATTTTAAGTTAAAGTTAGTAGAAGGGTAGGGGACGGCGTGGCCTAGCGATGGAGCGCTGGACTACTAACCAGAAAATCTCAAGTTCGAATCCGGGTTCAATTCAGTAGAACGTCCCTGAGTCCACCCAACTCTGATGCGTACCCGAGTCACGTTAGGGAAAGTAAATGCGGCTGGGCAGAGTGCTGACCACTCTATCTCTTCATATGCCGATGTCACAGAAACAGGTGAACTCTACTTCACTTTCCCCATGGACCGTCGGGTTAAAAAAGAGAACCTTACCTCCCATGAGTGGAAAGTTAGACTGCTACCGTGTGAAAGTTAGACTGCTACCGTGTGAAAGTTAAACTGCTACCGTGTGAAAGTTAGACTGCTACCGTGTGAAAGTTAGACTGCTACCGTGTGAAAGTTAAACTGCTACCGTGTGAAAGTTAAACTGCTACCGTGTGAAAGTTAGACTGCTACCGTGTGAAAGTTAGACTGCTACCGTGTGAAAGTTAGACTGCTACCGTGTGAAAGTTAGACTGCTACCGTGTGAAAGTTAGACTGCTACCGTGTGAAAGTTAGACTGCTACCGTGTGAAAGTTAGACTGCTACCGTGTGAAAGTTAGACTGCTACCGTGTGAAAGTTAGACTGCTACCGTGTGAAAGTTAGACTGCTACCGTGTGAAAGTTAGACTGCTACCGTGTGAAAGTTAGACTGCTACCGTGTGAAAGTTAGACTGCTACCGTGTGAAAGTTAGACTGCTACCGTGTGAAAGTTAGACTGCTACCGTGTGAAAGTTAGACTGCTACCGTGTCCACACCCTAGTGAAACTCAAATATTGAACAAGTGCTAAAACATAATGTATAAATACTGATAAAGACAAGCTTTAAATCACATACGTTAAATTAGTTATATGTTCAGTATACAACGTGTAGAAACATGCGTTAGGACATACACAAAAACGTTATGACATGCGTTTACGCACCAATATGTTGAGACAAATCTTAAGACAATAGCACATTAAGACACATTTACACTAAGACAACTATGTTAAGGCACATTTAAGATCAGACACATACAATAAGCAGACCTTAGAAAGCACATAGCTTAGGAAACCAGACCCATAAAACGTATGAAAGAAACTGTAGCAGGAATTCGCTGTGTATTTGACCAGGGAAGATCAACCAGTGACCATATCCTGTTCTACGACTGATGGGTACCCAGAGGTCACAGACTTCGGCATCAGAATCCTGGATATGTACAGTCGTCTGCCGCTTTTGTATGTTCCCAACAAGGTCAGTTGTATCCATTTGTATCTATACTATCAAATAGTAGCGCATCTCGCTCTCTCTTTCTCTCTGTCTCTCTCTGTCTCTCTCTGTCTCTCTCTCTCTCTCTCTCTATATATATATATATATATATATATATATGTATATGTATGTATGTATATATATATATATACATATATATATATATATACATATATATATATATATACATATATATATATATATATATATATATATATATATATATATATATATATATATATATATATATATATTGAAGTTGTCTTTCTTTATGTGAAATTTGTTTTCTCATTGCCAATATGTTATCATACTGTCGAAATTTCCGTATCTTCACCCATTGAACCATACAACCACCACAGAACTCGACCACACAATCATTCTACCCAACAACCACGTAAGTACCACACAACCACACAATCACTCAATTTAACCACACAACCACTGGGCTTCACCACTACACAAACAGACACTCGACCATGCAACCACTCAACCACCCAACCACTCGAATACACACTCACACAACCACACAACCGCACCGCCACACATAACCTCACTCTTTTGTAATTTTGACCATCGGAACCAGATCTTCCAAATGGAGAAAGCTCTTCGTGGCAGATACATGTGTGAGGCCATCTCCTACCCGTTTGGCCGTCGTCTAGTGGTACCCTCAGAGAGAATCATCACCATACGCCCCGCGCACAGACGCCCCAGGGAGGGGACTGAACCTGAACGTCCCAGGGAAGGGGCCGAGCCTGAAACAGTCACAGAAACCGACCCAACAATCCCGCCCTCCACCAACTTGCCTGAGGTGACGGTCAATAATTTCACCTACCCGAGTAGCACAGAAACCAGCTGGTGGGGCGATGACATAGATGCCAACCCTAAGGTGAACACAGAAACTACTAAACCTTCGAGTACGTTTAACACGGTCCGAGCAGGCTGGATAAATTCCGGGGCTAACGATTCGAGGGCCGGAAGTAGAAACTCGTGGGACCACGACAACTTGGCCGACACACAAAAGGGAGCCCACACGGAGATGAGGCCGATGCTTTTAAACTGTAAGAAATGTTTTGTTATAAACTTTACTATGTGTAGGGCTTGTAAACAGGTCAGCAACTTCTCGTTCTCGTAGTTTGTTGGGGAGGGGACGCCGTGGCCTTGCGGTCGAGCCCTTGACTGCTAGCCAGAAAATCTAGCTAGCATTTTTCAAACTTAATGGGAATCTTTTTTTTTATAAATAAGTAAATATAAATTAAAAAATAGAAAATCTACTTCCACTATTACTATTTATTTAAAACCGTAAACAATGATAATGATACTACAACGTTTAGGCCATCTTAAAGAAAAATATATATCCTACGTAAAATTGTGATTTTAAAAAAAAAGAAGTGTACTGTTCGTTTTTTTTTCGAATCCGTAACAATATTAATATTAAATTAATAGACTTGGCCTACCCTAATTGGTTCTATTATCAGTAAATATTGTATGTGTTGCATTTTTTTGTACTCTTGGTTTTTTTTTTTTAAATCTTAAAGCGATGCATAGAAACAAATAGCCGTTATGCGTGTTGTTATCAATGGGAATCAAATTCAAAACAAAAAATTTAGCTAAAAAATTTACCTCTCCCTGGCTAACGAGATTTCGAATTTTAAGCAAGAAATACCGAGACTTACAAGCCCTATTCCCACCGCGGCTTAACCCTGGGGAGGGGGTAGAGCCAAAAGGCGTGGACATATTTTATAGGCGGAGTGGCCTGGTTGGGTGGTAGAGCATACAAGTACTAACCCACAAGTCTCCAGTTCGGTTTTGAGTCAGTAGGACATAGTTTAATCAAAACAATAGGCGAACACCACATCTGTCTCAATTAACTGTTCGGTGTATACGGGGTACTGTACAAATCATGTTTAAAATGTATTCATGATCAAATGATACATCAGTACTAATATGTAAAGGCATCAATCCATATACAGTACTAGATATCAGCGGCGTTTGAATATGTAGGAAGAAACAAACATTTGCGACACTCCAACTCCACTAAAAGTCGTTTGGAGTTTAGCACTTTATATCTGTGTGTGTATGTTTTTTTTTTTTTTTTTTTTTTTTTTTTTTTTTTTTTTTTGGGGGGGGGGGGTATTTCTACTCTGATAACTCATCAAAATATTGAAATGACGCAAATATTTTTTAAATAGTTAAATTTTAAATATTACGGTAATTTTTGTGAGTGCAGACCCCCCCCCCCCTTCCACATGACGTATGTTGACCAAATGCGCCCATGGCCTTGACATTGATTATCTTTTTGTTCCAGCAATTGATGCCGGCAGTTCTGGGTGTCAAGCCTCGCGCCCAGCACTGGCTGCTCTGTTCATCTTACTCATGGCGCTGGTCGGCTTCTAGTCTACGTCATCACCACGTCTAGCCTACGTCATCACCACGTCTAGTCTACGTCATCACCACGTCTAGCCTACGTCATCACCACGTCTAGCCTACGTCATCACCACGTCTAGTCTACGTCATCACCACGTCTAGGCTACGTCATCACCACGTCTAGTCTACGTCATCACCATGTCTAGCCTACGTCATCACCACGTCTAGCCTACGTCATTACCACGTCTAGCCTACGTCATCACCACGTCTAGCCTACGTCATCACCACGTCAACTGAAGAGACTATCTGAGCAGAAACATTGTGCCCTAGTAGTTTGACCAGGCCCTACCTCCCCCCACCCCATACAGCACCCACCCCCCCCCCCCCCCCCCCCCCATGAAAGAATTATTTGAAGAATCAACTCGCGGAGTTTATATCACTGTGAAAACCTAATAAACATCGAGTACTAATAAAACAGTAATCATAACGAACTCACTAATTAAAACACTGCGATTTTGTTCATTAATTATTACGCCCACATTTTCATGTTCATCCTAACTAACATTCATCAATATTTAATTTAAATTCTAATTGGCATGACGTTTTTCTGTTGGAAATGATAATAGATAGATTTTAGTATCCCCATTGTGTCCGTTGGTTCTATTTTTAACTTGTCGGTACACCCGGCTGTTGGAACAGTGAGACTTCGCCCGGTGTAGACGACAATTCGCGTCCTTCCTTGCCATTGGTAAACAACATTGATGAATACCCAACACGGCAGTGTAGTCTATGTTCTCAGTAGGGTGAAAATCTTCGAAATTTTGTAGTTTAAGGCTCAGTGTTTTATTTTTATTTTTAAATTTGGCTGAGTTGTTTTTTTTTTAAATATAAAAACAAAACAGCTATCAAAGTTCCGATGTAATAACTATCTTTTAAAAAAAATTAAATGTTTTTCATCTACGATAATTTGTTCAATACAAAAATCAAATAAACAATTTATACTTTTGTCTATTGATTAGTTCTTAATGAAAAATTTAGTGAAAATTCCATATTCTTGCGTTGTCGTCAGAAAATCTTCTTCTTCGTTTTTGTTAGTGTTGGTAGGGATCGAGCCTTATCTGCCAGAGGGTTTGAACCATGAGCTTTTGCCGACTCGACCATGCTTCCATCACAATTAAGAATTCGTGTCAACTGGTTATGCGCCATTGAGGCCATTGACTCCGATTTCAGCCTGCTTTTCTTTTTGGATTTGCTTCCATAGCCTTTGTCCAACCAAGAACAAACTACAAGGCAGCAGTTGTTTGATTTTGGAGTTGTCTCTCCTAGAAGAGTGGCTGTCCCCAGCTAACGAGCCTCATCTGCCCGAGGGTTCGAACTCGAGACTTTTCGGTTTAGCAACGCCGACCCCCGTCAGAAAATAATTTTTTTTATATTTTTTACTGGGATGGTATGCTTAGTAGATGGATAATGGTATTTGCATTTCGTTTTGTTTTTTAAATTTATCTGTAAAATGGCCAACAAATAGCCCAGAAGATACTATTAAAAATGCCATCAATAATAGAAATAGTTCAATATTTAAGAAAAAATGATACCCCCCTATACTGTAAAATTTTGTTGGCGTCTTAAAATATAAGTAGGGGCATAGTAGCAAGAACCCTGGTGTAAATTTTCAGAAATAAAAACAACACATTTTTTGACTTTGTCAAATGTCAAACAAAATGTAAAAAGTAATTACTAAACTCAAAAAAGAAATTAGCAAAAAAATTCGACTTTTGATCTCTTTTTTCCGTGCTTTTATTTGCCTTTATAAAATATTCATTTGAAAGAAATTTCGTAGGTAAAATATTACTGCGCCACCGTGGGTTCTTTTTTTCTTATAAAAAAAAAAGTCCGCTGTATGCGACGAATTGAAATATGGGGTTGCCATCAGCGACGATGAAGGGGCGATGGGGTTGCCAGGCGATTAGCTGACAGCCAGGCAGATAGCTAGCAGAAGTCCGAATAGCAGGATTGTGGGCTTGGTACCTTCCCCAGCATTGCTGCTGTTTTTGACCGGCTGGGTGGTGTTGGCGACCGTGGTGGTGTTGGATCTCTCAGTGATCATCACGCCGGCGGTTGGCGGTTCATTAGGATCTAGAAGGGGAGGGGAGGGGGGGGGGGGGTAATGACATTTGTTATATTAAAAGAAGGTTAAAGTTGAAGGCCAAATGGCATTCATTATATTGAGAGTGGGGAAAAAAAAGTTAAAAACAAAATGGAATTCGTTATATTAAACACGTCTATAATATTGCTATAGAACCAGTCCTGTCGCCACAAAACCGGTCCATTAGCCACTGAACATGTAGTTTGGCCACTGAACTGGTTTTTTGGCCACTGAACCGGTCCTTTAGCCACTAAACCGGTCTTTGAGCCGATTAACGACTCTTTAACTACTGAACCGGTCTTTTGGCCACTGAACCGGTCTTTTGGCCACTAAACCGGTCTTTGAGCCGATTAACGACTCTTTAACTACTGAACCGGTCCTTTGGCCCCTGAGCCGGTCCTTCAACCACCCAACCGGTCGACCCCAACTACACAATGCTCCTACCAGGGCCACCGGGGGCAAGAGTAGTGGGCGCCGGCTCCACGGGTTCCTTGGCGGTGTCGTTGGTAGCGTGGGTGGTGTTAGATCCGTACATCGATTCCATATCCGTATTGTTGCCGTACATGTCCATCTGGGCACCCAGCTTCCAGTTGGGCTCCTCCGGCATGATCATGATGTAGTCACGTGACGTCACCGAGACCCTGACCCCCCGGGGGTAACTGATGGACTCGCAGATGTACCGGCCCGGGAAGGCGCTGGGAAACTCCACATACTACAGATAGAGAGGTTCAACTCGGTAATGGGGTAGACCGTTAAGGAGCGGACACGGAGTAGAGAAGACTGAATCAGACGCAGAGGGTCGAAGGTTAGTACAGGGGTTGATTAGTGCAAGGATTACCACAGATTGATTACACTCACGCTGATCTTACTTTTCCCACACACGACTCTCACCCTCACACAAAACTCTCATCACTTGAACCCCTCATATATATCTCTCATGACTTAAAACCCTCATACAAAACTCTCATGACTTGAACCCCTCATATATATCTCTCATGACTTAAAACCCTCACACAAAACTGTTATGACTTAAAACCCCACACACAAAACTCTCATCACTTGAACCCCTCATATATATATCTCGTGACTTAAAACTCTCATACAAAACTGTCATGACTTGAACCCCTCATATATATCTCTAATGACTTAAAACCCTCATACAAAACTCTCATCACTTGAACCCCTCACACAAAACTCTATAACTTAAAACCCCTCACACAAAACTCTATAACTTAAAACCCCTCACACAAAGCTCTATAACTTAAAACCCCACACACAAAACTCTATAACTTAAAACCCCACACACAAAACTCTATAACTTAAAACCCCACACACAAAACTCTCATCACTTGAACCCCTCACACAAAGCTCTATAACTTAAAACCCCACACACAAAACTCTATAACTTAAAACCCCACACACAAAACTCTATAACTTAAAACCCCACACACAAAACTCTATAACTTAAAACCCCACACACAAAACTCTCATCACTTGAACCCCTCACACAAAGCTCTATAACTTAAAACCCCACACACAAAACTCTATAACTTAAAACCCCACACACAAAACTCTATAACTTAAAACCCCACACACAAAACTCTCATCACTTGAACCCCTCACACAAAGCTCTATAACTTAAAACCCCACACACAAAACTCTATAACTTAAAACCCCACACACAAAACTCTATAACTTAAAACCCCACACACAAAACTCTATAACTTAAAACCCCACACACACAAAACTCTCATCACTTGAACCCCTCACACAAAGCTCTATAACTTAAAACCCCACACACAAAACTCTATAACTTAAAACCCCACACACACAAAACTCTCATGACTTACAACCCCTCACACAAAGCTCTATAACTTAAAACCCCACACACACAAAACTCTCATGACTTACAACCCCTCCTACCAACCAAATCTCACCCTTATTGAACTAACCCCTTGTGATGACGCAAGTTTAGGTTATAGGGGTCAAGTAGAAGATAGCTGAAACAGAGCATAGCGTAGTTATGTAGACTGCAGACCAATAGAAATACAGCTGACCGGTCACGTGAGTCGGTCAGATAACATCTGAAGCGTGGGTTTGTAGTTAGAGATAGGTAGTGGTAGAGAGCGATCAGAGATATGTAGAGTTAGGGAGTAGTTAGACAGAAGTAGCGCTTGGGGAAAGACGTAGAAGTTGAAATTAAATGCAGTGATAGACTTTGTCATGGAAGTGTTAGTTGTAGTTAGATACTGTTAGTAGACAGTTAGATCTTAGGACGTAGTTAGGGTGGGACTGTTAAATAAAGAAACAGTATAGAATATCTTGAATAGGACTTGTGCTGATTTCACTAAACTTTACCAGGCGTACCTAAGAAAAAGACGATCCCCTTAGTGAGTATGGATATATAGAATAGACGCTTTCATCCTCACAACTAGTGGTTCTTCTTTTAACCCCCCCCCCCCCCCTCACCAGCCTGACTGGGACTCAAGACTACTTACACCATCTGAAACCACAGCGTGAAACAGCTTCTGCTGGTCCTTGGTTGAGTACACGATGACGCCATATTTGACGGGGGGCGGGTTGCCATCCTTGGTGGAACAGGAGATGTTCAGGTATTGGTTCAGCCTGTACACAGATATAATCGATTACTAGCAGCGGGGAAAGAATAGTCTATCTGAACCAGTATCGTCGAATACGATACCTAAAGTATCGGTGTGAAGTATTTTAGAATTAAGTGAAATTTAAAATTAAAAAAAAAAAATCATCGTATTGTGTGTAACAAAATGTGTTTGGGTAAGTCGTGGTGAAAGGTGTATTAATATACAGTGGGGTTAGCAGGGGTTTAGTTGTGGAGGTGGAGGGGAATCCCCGTATATCGAACCATCAATGTACAGAGGTATTTTTTCAGTAATCTCTTCGAGGCTAGATACCCATCATAACTGGGTAGATCCAAGGACGTTCCACTGACTTGGACCCGGATTCGAACTCGAGACTATTGGGCTCTGATCAACAAATACCGACAACTACGAATCAAACCGATTGGCCGGCGTTGGTGAACCTATCCTTTGAATTTTAGGGGCCTAGACATACTTTATATATTTATTTATTCGGGCGGGGGGGGGGGGAGCTATGCTTTTTATTTTTTATTTTTTTTGGATATCCCAGATTTATACAAACATACTGTGAAAGTTTAATACAGCTAGTAAGATCCGAAGAACATATAAAGAAAATAATCTTAGACCAATCGATCTATTGGGCAGATGAAGTAGAGTTTATATTTCTTGACCCCGGCATAGAAGAACATAAAAACGATTTTTAAAATTACAAAAAAAAAACCCAAAATGTTTGTGAATCGTTTGTAAAGTCTTCATTTTCCACTAATTAGTTGTCTTCCTTTTTTTTTTAAGCCCCCTCCCAGCCCCCCCTTCCCCTCCCCACCACAGAGATCCAAAGCTATTGGCAGGTTATTTTAACGTAGTCTTGAACAGCTTGTTCCTCTTCCATAGTTTCTTCCAGGCATCTCTTCGGCACCCCCCCCCCCCAGCCCAACGAAATATAATTTATATAGAAAATATAAACTTTTACCTGTGTCCGCCCTCCCCACCTTTCCCTGTAATTTTAGTCCATCCCTATGGACATTTCAAGTGCCCCCCCCCCCTCTCCGTAGAAAAAAAAGTCCAGTTTTTTTTTTCCAGACTTATTTCTCCGGGGGTGGGTGGGGGCGGACACTGTTAAAAGCACATATTTTCTATATAAATTGTATTTCATTCGGGGAGGGGGGGGGGGCGGTAGAGATGCCTGGAAGAAACTCTGCACTGTTCTCTTCTACCAAGCACGTTTATCATGAAAATAAAAACAGCGAATCTTACTTTGGCTGAGCCGGGGTAGACTTGATGTAGAGCTTTCCTCTGTAGGGCGCGAAGTGGTAGGTGACGAGGAACTTGAAGCAGACGACTTCCTGGAGGATGCAGTGAGACTTCCTGTCGTTCATCACGTTCATGTCGTTGGCGTCGAAAGTGACCACCGACTTGTTGGGGTCAGTCTTCATAAACATGATAACCTTCAGCTCGTCGTACCCAGTGATGGGACCATCCTCACTGATTTCTGGGGTGGAATAGGTAATTGCGTTGAGAGCAGTAGCGTAGCGAGGGGGGGGGGGGACATATGTCCCCGGGCGCCGACCTTAGGGGGCGCCAAAATGGGTTGGAAAAATAAATTGAAAGGCTGAGGGGGATGCAAATCGAAAGTTTGAGGGGGGTGCAAATCGAAATCTTGAGGGTGGGGGGTGCATATCGAAAGTTTGACGGGGGGGGGGTGCAAATCGAAATCTTAAGGGGGGGGGGTTGCAAATCGAAAGTTTGAGGGGGGTGCAAATCGAAATCTTGAGGGGGGGGGGGTGCAAAACGAAAAGTTTGTCCCCGGGCGCCGGGAAGGGTCGCTACGCCTCTGGTTGACAGCGAGATAATTTTTCCATGACGACAAGAAGGGGTAAGAAGGGGGGGGGGGTCTACAAAAACATACTGATTTTAGAAAAATAGTTCTCTAAAAAAAAGGCTGGTAAGGTTGAAAAAGTTTACAAAAAAAATATAAAAAAATCTTATGTAACTCCCGTAGACAGGAATGGAACAGTTGTTAAAACTAGATAATAAATGAATTAGTTTCAAAATAATTAAAAATAAAACAGTTTGGTTTTAAACCTTGTTTACCGGTTAGGTCCACACAGACCACTGTAATTAAAGTTGAACAGTGGTTAAATTTACAAAACAATCACACGTTGATAAGCAACTACCGTTAAAAAACTGTTAAATTTAACAAAATCAGCACACGTTGACAGCCAAATACCGTTAAACAAACGTTAAATTTAACAAAACCAGCACAGGTAGGCAGACAAATACCGTTAAAAAACTGTTAAATTTAACAAAATCAGCACACGTTGACAGCCAAATACCGTTAAACAAACGTTAAATTTAACAAATCCAGCACACGTTGACAGCCAAATACCGTTAAACAAACGTTAAATTTAACAAAATCAGCACAGGTAGGCAGACAAATACCGTTAAACAAACGTTAAATTTAACAAAACCAGCACAGGTAGGCAGACAAATACCGTTAAACAAACGTTAAATTTAACAAAACCAGCACAGGTAGGCAGACAAATACCGTTAAACAAACGTTAAATTTAACAAAATCAGCACACGTTTACAGTCAAATGCCGTCAAACAAACGTTAAATTTAACAAATCAAGTACACGTTGACAGCCAAATACCGTTAAACAAACGTTAAATTTAACAAATCAAGCACACGTTGACAGCCAAATACCGTTAAACAAACGTTAAATTTAACAAAACCAGCACACGTTGACAGCCAAATACCGTTAAACAACGCAAACTTCTGTTCGACTCTGTCCCCACATTTCCTCGCGCTGCCCACGGTGAATGCCACTGACAGGTGGGGTAGGAGGGTGTTGCGGTGGTACACGTTCATACCGACGATGGCGTCTGGACTCCAGGTTGCAGCCACTGGAATACATGCACAGGGTGGTTAGGTCGTCTGGTGGGGTTGGGTTCGGCGGTGGTTGGGTTTACTGGTGGTTGGGTTTATTGGTGGTTGGGTTTGGCGGTGGTTGGGTTTGGCGGTGGCTTGGTGTATTGGTGGTTGGGTTTGGCGGTGGTTGGGTTTGGCGGTGGTTGGTTTGGCGGTGGTTAGGTCGTCTAGTGGGGTTGGGTTTGGCGGTGGTTGGGTTTGGCGGTGGTTGGGTTTGGCAGTGGTTGGGTTTGGCGGTGGTTGGGTTTACTGGTGGTTGGGTTTATGGTGGTTGGGTGTATTGGTGGTTGGGTTTACTGGTGGTTGGGTGTATTGGTGGTTGGGTTTATTGGTGGTTGGGTTTACTGGTGGTTGGGTTTATTGGTGTTTGGGTGTATTGGTGGTTGGGTTTTGCTGGTGGTTGGGTGTATTGGTGGTTGAGTTTATTGGTGGTTGGGTTTACTGGTGGTTGGGTGTATTGGTGGTTGGGTTTATTGGTGGTTGGGTTTACTGGTGATTGGGTTTATTGGTGGTTGGGTTTACTGGTGGTTAGGTGTATTAGTGGTTGGGTTTATTGGTGGTTGGGTTTACTGGTGGCTGGGTTTACTGGTGGTTGGTTAATTTGGTGGTTGGGTTTACTGGTATTGATGGTTGGGTAAATTGGTGGTTGGGTTTACTGGTGGTTGGGTTTATTGGTGGTTGGGTAAATTGGTGGTTGGGTTTATTGGTGGTTGGGTTTGGCGGTGGTTGGGTTTACTGGTGGTTGGGTGTATTGGTGGTTGGGTAAATTAGTGGTTGGATTTACTGGAGGTTGCGTTTACTGGTAGTTGGATTTATTTATGGTTGGGTTTTTTAGTGGTTGGGTTTGTTGGGGGTTGGGTTTATTAGTGGTTGGTTTTATTGGTGGTTGGGTTTGTTTGTGGCTTGGTGGGTTTGTGGTTGGGCGAGGTGGTGTTTGAGTTTACTGGTGGTTGGGTTTACTGGTGGTTGGGTCAATTGGTAGTTGGGTTTATTGGTGGTTGAGTTTACTGGTGGTTGGGTTTATTGGTGGTTGAGTTTACTGGTGGTTGAGTTTACTGGTGGTTGGGTTTACTGGTGGTTGGGTTTACTGGTTTGTCATCCGACTCACCATAAAAATTGACAGCCTGGTGAAGCGAGAACGGTTTACTTATATCCGACCTATCAGTGCCCGCCTGCAGTAAAACAAAGGTCGATTAAACGTAGGGGTAGTAGATTGGTTTATCAGTTTTGTTATACATGTATTGTGTACTATCGGATTCTAATGATAAAATCAAATATATATATATATATATATATATATATATATATATATATATATATATATATATATATATATATATATGTATATATATATATTTATGTATATATATATATGTATATATATATATATATATATATATATATATATATATATATATATATATATATATATATATATATATATATATATATATATAAAGACATAATTCAGCTATTTAAAAAGGAGAGATTGAGCCGACTGCAAATTTATATTCGTCTTCTAAACTAATATAAGTATTTACTATTGAAAATGTATTAGAGTTAAACCCAATCATAAGATAGACTTTTTATTTCGAGGTTAGACAGTTAGTATCGTAGGTGGGGGTTCAACGTTTAGCGTTAAACTCTTACCTCGAATAGTGTGACGTTGCATGGGCAGACCTCTTCCGACTGGTTGCAGGGCGCGTTCTGGCCCCCCACTGGGGCGCACGTGAGGCAGAAGAGGAGTCCCCACACCCACGGGAACAACATTTCAGCCTTCATGTCTCAAACGTCTGCCGACACTCAAACATTTTTTACGTTATACAGCACATCAACAAATCAATTAGCCGTACCCACTTATTTCTACAGCGTGATTCGCTGAGTTATATTACAAGAACGGTGTATTAAAGCAGATGAAGTAGAGTTCACCCTGTCTCTGTGAGGTCAGATCTATGCTCAGGCCCAAATACAACCTTGAACCTAGACTAGAACTGTACTGTAACACTAACCCCCAGCCTTATGTCATATATCTGGACTTTAAAAAAAAACAACTCTGCAACTAGACCTAAGGGGTCATCCATAAATAAAGTTACCCTTTTTGCCGATCACCCCCCCCCCTTCCTTTTCTTCCGTTACAAATCGCCAAAAAAAACCAGACCCCCCCCCCACCACACTTTACTTGACGTCAGCTTACAACCCCCTTTCCCCCCCCCCCCCCCCCGTTCAAGTCAGTAGACCGTCCCTGAGTCCACCCAACTCAGATGGGTACCTATCTCACATTAGGGAAAGTAAAGGCGGCTGGACATAGTGCTGACCACACTATCTCTTCATATGCTGACCACACTATCTCTTCATATGCCGAGGTCACAGAAACAAGTGAACTCTACTTCACTTGCCCTATAGACCGTCAGGTTTGAAAAGGGAACTTTACTTGACTTTTAATATTGACTGAACTTGATCAACATAGAACATTTTAATCAATTTCTATTACAAGTTGTTTAAATGTTTCTTAAACGCGAAATAATGGCCACAGTTCAGTTTCTAACACTACTTTTTTCTATGCAAAAGTGCGAAGATACACTTATCGAAACCCCCTTCTCTCCCTCGTCACAAGATTATTTAAATTACGGAAATCCATTTTCTTTCATTTATAGACAACTCCTCTGTCTAAACCTAACCCTTGCTCTAAACCTAACTCTGACATATCAGTTGTGCACTCGTTCTAATTTTGACAGCGATACTAGGATGAAAAACAACAGATCGATTTAGATCTGCATCTAGATATTCTAGATCTGCCATGTTACCTTGCCGGCTAACAAAACAGCATTCACAGAAACCAAATTTCAAGAAATTAGAAACTTTTAAAAATTCTTCTTTAATAAACCACTCACCAAATGTTTTCTGCCGAGGCAATAAACATACTAGCAATGTTCTTTAAGACCTATATTTTATTTTTGGATTTAGATCTAGAGATGTTTGATTACGTTTTAGTTTACTTTAGTCCAAAATGACTATTAAACAACGCTCGTCCAGGAGCGGTTGTTAGGGAATGTTATCGTGTGGTTTTTTCGTGGTGCGAAACGGTGCGCGACGGGTGCAAATTAGGGAAAACTAAAGTTCATTTATGTCATTTGAAAAGTGTGACTTTTGTCTTATTAAACGGAACAAATAAAAAAGTACCCTGCTTCTAACAAATTTAAAAAAAATGTTAACGGAAACAAATAATTAATTTTACGTTTCTAATATTAGTAATTTAAGTAGAAAACAGATTAAAGAAAACAATTTAAAACATATGATTAATCAAAATTAATAATATCTACTATTAGTAATGGAAAATTAATAAATGTTTAAAGCCATTAGTTGTTTGATTTTAGAGTTGTCTCTCTTAGATTTGTAACCAGTTATCGAGCCTTATCTGTCCTAAATCTCGTTTCGGGACTTTAAAAATTAACAGTCATGCTCATCCCGTGCCGACTTCGCCGCTTCAATGAGCTTTCTACAACTTACTGAAGCTTATCCATGACATGTACAAGTAATAAGTGGCTTCTTTTACCTCGTGAGACAATATATTGCATCCAGAGATTAAGGTTATTTCCTTTTGCTGTAAGCGCTGTTGTTGCTGGTCATGCTAATTCTGGAGTGACAATCTCTACCACAGTTACTGCACATTATAAAGGGGTCGGCGTGGTCCAGTCGGTAAAGCTCATGGTTGCTAAACCGAAAAGTCTCGGGAAGATCAGGCTCTTTAGCTGGGGACAGCAACTCTTCTAGGAGAGACAACTCCAAAATCAAACAACTGCTGCCTTGTAGTTTGTTCTTGGTTGGACAAAGGCTATGGAAGCAAATCCAAAAAGAAAAGGAGGCTGAAATCGGAGTCAATGGCCTCAATGGCGCATAACCAGTTGACACGTATCCTTAACTGTGATGGAGGCGTGGTCGAGTCGGCAAAAGCTCACGGTTGATAAATTCGAAAAAGTCTCGAGTTCAACCCTCTGGCAGATAAGGCTCGATCCCTTTAAACACTAAAAAAATTAAGAACGAAGAAGAAGAAGCAGATCATTATTGTTGGTAGGTAGGTTGGTTGGTTGGTTGGTTGGTTGGTAGGTTGGTTGGTTGGTTGGTAGGTAGGTTGGTAGGTAGGTTGGTAGGTTGGTTGGTAGGTTGGTTGGTAGGTTGGTTGGTCTATACATTTGGCAGATCTTTCTTTCCTTGAGGCGACCTCAGCCATTTTCTTTCTTCAGCGATGTTGATGCCGGTCCGTACTGCCTGTCTCCACAATGCCTGTCTTGGTCCAGCAGCTGCCCCGTGTGCTCATGTATGTCTGCTTGCTTCAGATCTCCTTTACAAACACGTCTGTTATTTACCAGGAGTTGTCCCTTGGGTGTTGAACTGTTGGTAAGATTTGCAATAAGGTTTTCTTTAGGGATTTGACCGTCAGACATGACCCAGCCTTTTCTGGGTTAACATTCCCTGAGTTGGCTCACCTTAAGATGTCTTAGTTGGAGTCACGTTCTTCCCAGTTGACACACTGGATGCGTCTTAGTAATAGTCTAAACACAAGGCATTGGAATAGATTTCAATAATAACATATTAAGGACATTCTTGTTATCTTTTATACTGTGGTCGTATATTCGAAACTTAAAGACTTTTTGAGAGACAGTTTTTGTCTTGTGAGAAGTATGACCATTTAGCTTACATTAGATCAGGGGTCTCCAAACTTTTCAGTCCGAGGGCCGCATTAACTATCAAATTTCAGTTCGGGGGCCAGTTTATTACAGGCATGTCTTTGATTTTTCTGGGCAAAGTTCCTCAGCCATCACCAACAAACGCTTTTTTCCGTGGACAAAAATATCTGCGCGGGCCGGATGAGAGGACTTCGCGGGCCGCATCAGGCCCGCGGGCCGTAGTTTGGAGACCCCTGCATTAGATTCATCTATAAACTTGTATACAGGTGGATTCACCTTTCTCTCCACTCATCATTATTACTCAAATGTCACTCATCATTATTACTCAGATTCCGTGTGTACTCACGATAAAACTGGTCATAAAAACAAATAGAGATTTATTTTTTTCCAAGCCGGTAGTTCACGAGTTGACACTTTTTATGACTTACAAATTTGGCTTCACTCTCTATCGATTGGATAGTCATTTTAAAATAAATTTTTAATCACTTTTTTAATACTCAGAATAGAAAATCAGATATTCTTGTGTTGTCATTGGAAATACACTTTTCTACAAAGAAATAGTTTTTAAGAATCGGTTCGAAAATGACTTAAAATCTAAACCACCCACAGTTGGATATTGTTTATTACCTAAATTAATAGGTTTATTAATAGAAAGATTTAAAATGTCTAAAAATTGTTATAATAAGCTTAGATAAACTAAAAGAATCGAAATAGCAGCAGAACCGTTGGTCGTTCAAGAAAAAAATATCTAGAATATATATTTAAAAACTCTTTGGGACCTGACGGTCAGTACCTCAGAAGAAATTTCAGTTTAACACCAGTTTACGATTTATTCTTTAAATCAACTGAACTTATAAATGGAAGACAAAACATATTGGTGATTAGTTTTATTGACATTGATGACAGTTTATTTACATGGTAATTAACACACTTTTAGTCATGGTATTCATTTTACGGCTGTGAAGGGTAGTCACCTCATTATTAAGTTGTGATCCTACTTTTTAATGTACGTGGTCCTTTTGTTATTGTTGTCATAAAAAACTCATTGCTCTAGTACTATATTACACAGTACAACTTTCACATTCGGTTCAATGGTTAACAAAACTATATAATTCAGCACACTATTTGAAAGTTCTTCTATAATATTCAGTAGATGGTTAAGGAAATCCCATAACAATTAGCACTTTTGTAATTCTTATACATTTTTAGAATAGTACCAGTACATGTAACAAATCGTTGAGTACATTTGTGTGACTTTAAATATTAAATTAAAAAATGAAAAAAAAAAAACGTATTTTTCGTACTGTTAAAAAAAAAGAATGAACCGATCGTCAATTAACAGATTTCATTAGTTAACATTGGGTCGAGGTCTGAATTGAAGTTTTTTCTCGAACATTCGAACTATCCTCCCCACCATAGTATCCTCTTTCACAGGCCTGACTCGGATTATGGGATACTTCTCTTGGGTCTGGGTATCATTCGTTTGTACGGGGTCCGAGAATAGATAGGAAAATCCGGATTTCCTTTGGAGGTTGGGGAGTTGATGGTCGAGTGTGGGGGTGGGGTGATGGTCAGGTGTGGGGTGATCGTAAAGTGTGGGGGTGGGGTGATGGGCTAGTGTAGGGGTGGTTTGATGGGCGAGTGTGGGGGCGGGCTGATCGTAGAATGTGGGGGCGGGCTGATCGTAGAATGTGGGGGCGGGCTGATCGTAGAATGTGGGGGCGGGCTGATCGTAGAATGTGGGGGCGGGCTGATCGTAGAATGTGGGGGCGGGCTGATCGTAGAATGTGGGGGCGGGCTGATCGTAGAATGTGGGGGCGGGCTGATCGTAGAATGTGGGGGCGGGCTGATCGTAGAATGTGGGGGCGGGCTGATCGTAGAATGTGGGGGCGGGCTGATCGTAGAATGTGGGGGCGGGCTGATCGTAGAATGTGGGGGCGGGCTGATCGTAGAATGTGGGGGCGGGCTGATCGTAGAATGTGGGGGCGGGCTTGTGGTGGGATGTAGGGATAAATTGAGGGTGAGATGTGGGGGTGGATTGATGGTGGAGTGTAGATGTGTGCTGATAGTAGGAAGTGTGGGTGGAATGATGTTGGAATGTGGGGGTTGCATGGTGTTGGAGTGTGAGGGTAGGGGTGAACTGAGGGTGGGATGTGGGGGTGAACTGAGGGTGGGATGTGGGGGTGAACTGAGGGTGGGATGTGGGGGTGAACTGAGGGTGGGATGTGGGGGTGTGTTGGTGATTGAGTGTAGAGGTGTGCTGGTGTCTGAGGGTGGGGGTGTGGTTCTGTATGAGTGTACTGGTGGGTGAAGATGTGTTGAATGACGCTTGGCTGGGTATACAAGTGCTGGATGTTGAATGATAGGGCGGGGGAGTATTGTTGGGCGTGGAATCTTGGGAGATGCTGTAGGTTTCACAGCCGTTGGTGTAATGGGGAGAGCTTGACGTATCGGTGGGGGAGTGGTTATCCCAGTTAGGAGAAGTCATTGGCGTATCGGGTTTGGGGAAGAAGAGACTGCTAGAATTTGCTGGAATAAATCGGGGATCAAATGGCGAAATTTCCTGCTTGGCTGGAGACTCCGGGGTTTGGAAGGAGTCGAGAGTTGTAGGGAGTTTGTGGGACAGGTGGGCGGTTCTGTGGGCGTGGTCAGGTGTAGTGGGCTCTCTATGAGGTTCGCAGTAGGTATCAGATGGATGAGGGCTACTGGGTACCCCGTTCTGTTGACTGTACTTTGTAGTGGAAAGTGTATTGGGTACCATGTTATGTTGACTGTACTTTGTAGTGGAAGGTGTATTGGGTACCCCGTTATGTTGACCGTATTTTGTAGAGGAATTAGGTGTATTGGGTACCCCATTTTGTAAACTGTACTTGGTAGTGGAGTTAGGTGTATTGGGTACTCCATTATGACTGTACTTTGTAGTGGAAGGTGTATTGGGTATCCCAATGTGACTGTACTTTGTAGTGGAAAGTGTATTGGGCACCATGTTATGTTGACTGTACTTTGTAGTGGAAGGTGTATTGGGTACCATGTTATGTTGACTGTACTTTGTAGTGGAATTAGGTGTATTGGGTACCCCTTTAGGTTGACTGAACTTTGTACAGGCGTTAGGTGTATTGGGTACCCAATAATGTGGACTGTACTTTTTAGAGGAATTAGGTGTATTGGGTACCCTATTATGTTGACTGTACTTTGTAGTGGAATTAGGTGTGTTGGGTACCGCATTAAGCTGACTGTATCTCACAATGGGGTCAGATATATCGTTCGCCCTGTTCTTTCCCTCAACGGGTTCACGTGAACCGACAATCATGCTGTGTTGGGAGGGGTTCCTGTCTTCTTTTTCATATCGTTTTCTCTTCCTGTTGCACACAGACCTGGTGTCCTCAGGTAGGGTAGATCTGTTGGTGGGCTGTGGGGTATTCGTGCAACCTTTGCCTGCCCGCCACAGACCCAGCTTCCCAACATGTTGGGGCGTGCTCTTGTTAGCTTTGTCTGAATTCATCTGATGCGCCTCGCTGGTAAACCTTGGTGTGCTATTAATAGATACGTTTTTACACAACAAGTGAGCTGTTTTGATGACCCGTGGTGTACTATTGTTAGATAAGCCTGGACACAACAAATGAGATTCTTTGGCGACCCGTGGCGTACTAGTGTTGGATTTCTCATAATTCAACAAATGGGTCTCAGTGGCGCCATCCAGTGTACTGTTGCTAACTTGGCTTGCAAGCCATGGCGTATTTTTACTTCCTTCAACCTCCCAAACATTAGACTCAACTTCATATTTAGTCGAACTATTATTAGCCTTTCCTTCCTCCCAAGTACAAGATTTCCCCGTAGAGCCATCACTGTCTGATTTGCTCTGTGTCCATAGTGTCGACTTGCTGGGGTATTGTGAGGTTGTGGCAGGTTTATACCAGTTCAGGCAGATTTCTTTAAATGACGTCACACCCTGTCCCACATCTCCCCCAGCGATCACGTCACCTTTTTCAGTCTGCGCCACTTTGATGACGTCATCGCCCCTAACTTCTTTGGATGATGTTTCTTCCCCTTCTGTTTTCACCGTCGAATTCGCTCGAGTCGTCTGTTTGTCATCGGTTCTGTAAGTTGCAGGCGATGCTTTGGTATTTATCGTATCTGATTTACAACCTTCTACCGAGGTAAAGAAGTTATTATTTTTAGTTATATTCCTCGAGATATAGTTTTTCGTTACTTCCGCTGGTCGAAGTTTTGAATACGAATGCGCGATATACTCCAAAGGGTTAAAGACATTTCTTTTATATTTCTCTTCCGCCCTACCTCTTCGATCTCCTACCACAACTTTTTCATGTTCTAATCCATATTTTTGATTTTCCATTTCGTCACTTCTGTCTTCATTTCTACCCACCCGTTGATCTTTCTGCTCAACACTTTCTCTGAGATTTCTGATATCCTCATTAGGTTTACCAGTCAAAGCACGGAAGCCCCTGTTGATTTTCATGCTCACACCATATCCCAGTTTTACAGCCATGGGTTTTATGGGAAGATTTTTCTGGGCTAGTTTTTCCATATTGCTTCCTTTCTTCTTTCGACTTTGTGTATCTTTACCCACCCCGGCGCTGAAATGTTGATTTCTGGTGTTTTCTGTACTGATGTGTGTCAGTTTGTTTTCACGGGCTGTTTTGAGGTTGGTGTATGTGGGATATTCTATATCCTGCTGTGTCTGTATAGGATATTGTTTAACCTGTTTTGCTCTTATGGGATAATCTTTAACCTGCTCGGTCGCTATGGGATAGTGTTTAGCCTGCTGTATTACTTTGGGATATTGCCATGTTGCTAGTCTCCGCTTGTCTTTAGAGAGAGGTCTAACTTTCCTCGGCAGTGTCACGGGATCATCCGTGAAGTTTGGAAACCTGCTCCACCAATAGACTGCGTCGTTTCCGGCGTTGTCGTTCCTTGCACTTTGATCAAAGTCATCGATTCTGTTGTTGTTGTTTGATCTTGGTGTCGCATCGTGGTGATGCTCTTGACCCAAGCTCCGTTGGTGGTCCTGGAGCTTTTGACCATTTGAAATGGAGTTCTGCGTAGATTTAGGCGAGTTTGGCTTCGGAATGGAATCTTTGCTGGCGACTTTGTCTCTTGAACTTTTTCTATCAATATTTGGCAAGGACAAGATGTCGTCGATGCTTGGGTTTGTCAACTTGTCCATTGAGGCCTCAGTGTCTTGAGCATGGGCGAGCCAGCTGACGACTATATCAGCAGAACTTGGAGAATCTTTAGACGTTTCTTTCTTTATAACTTTCGTAATTATATCTTTAGAATTCAAGGCGGGAACAGTTTTATCACACTTCGCGGAATTCCTCTCCGAATTATTCACGCCATTCATTTCATTTTCAGATTTAGTAACTACTTTGAAGTTGTTCTCGAAATTTCCATACGTGGGGCGCGAGGCATCCTTTGGTGAGATGTTGGCTCTAGAGTTCTTTGATTTCTCGGTGTAGTCAACGGTCTTGTTGCCGTCCCCTTTGTCAAGAGTAGGACTGCTAGGCGACGACAGAAGATGAGGAAAGCTTTCACTTTTCAATGAAGAACTTTTTTTCTTCTTTAGCGATTTATGAGCATTATTTCCAAGCTCTTCATAATATTTTCGAGCTTTCTTAAAATGTTTCCGATTGGGCAATTTCTTCGAGGCTAAGCTTGATTCCTTGGGACTTCTTGGTGACGTTGAACCGACTGCGTCTTTTGAATATCTTCTCCGCTTATAGGAAGACGGCTTTCCAGTCGGGGTTCCATTCATGTTAGGAGACATATCTTCAGTGGATATGTTTAAATGCCTTTTCTTAAAGCTTCTTCTGGAATCGATGCCGTGTTTTTTCTTCATGATAAATGTTTCCTCTGATGGTGTCTCAAGTGTTGTTTTAGACCGCGATGATTGAGTCGTGGAATCAGCCAGCTTTTCTCTAGGGCGTCTACCATCTGATGACTGACTACCCGAATCATTTGACGGGGAAACTCCTTTACCCGACCCGATAAACATTCTCTTTTTCTTTCGCTGTTTCGGCTTGCGTCTTGGAGCGCGTTTACTGGCAGAGATCTTTGGTGAGCTCGCCAAACAAGGTATCGAATCTGTTTTGCTGGCACTGCGATAAGGTCTGTTCCTCTCTCCCTCGATGATCTGCTCCTCTCGGCCCTCGTTGAACAATGTACGGTACTGTCGGAGCTCGTAGTCTGTGTTCCTCTCCGACGTCTCGTCTAAGAAGTTCCCCAGAGTTACCGTGTCCGAGGAGTTGTTCATCTTCTTGATGGCGCTTCGAAATAATTTCTCGTACAGCTCAGCCGGGCGGTGGGTGTCGGTGACATGTCCTATGTCGTCCTGTAAGGTCCTATCGGTGTTCATCAGATGTCTCACTCCCGATGAAGTCGTATTATCCTCTTGAAATGTCCTATCGTCCCTCTTCCTGTTGTTCATTCCTATTGAGTTAAATTTATCCTCTTCAAATGCTCTCTCGTGCCTCTTCGGGTAGTTCCCTCCCATTGATTTAATTTTGTTCTCTTGTAATGTCCTCTCATATCTGTTTACATGTTGCCCTACCATGGAGAAAGACGTTTCTGCGGCAACATCAGGAACTTTATTTTGTCTGCTCTGCACGTATTCACTGCTTGACGCTGTAGCTGGTATAGGAGGACTTTTACTTGCCGACTTCAACAAGAAACTAGCTTGGTCCGATAACAAACTCTTGCAGTGATAGTTAATAAAAACTTCAGAAAAGCCTTTCATTGGCTGCATTTTGGGGCTCATTATTTTAGGTTGGGTCCGGTCATAGTTGTGCAATGCATTGTCTTGCTCTTGTTTTGCCTCGAGGTCGTATGAATGTTTTTTATCGAAGACAAATTTTGGGACTGGCTCATATGAAGTGCGCAGCGGTGTGTTAAACATAGCATGGGGATTGGTTTCTCGTTTGTTTACCTCGTACATTGATATCCTGTCGGGTTTAGGGCGTGTGTTAGGGTCGATTGTCTTGTGCTCAGCAGACGCCATGTGACTACTCGGGCTTGTTCTTAGAGCAGGGAATCTTTTCTTGAACCCGCCGAAATATGATTTCGTTGGCTTGGCGTTGGCACCTTTAGCCTTGCGTATCCTGTCTTCATTTCGTGCGATGGAGTCTAGTACAGCTCTAGATTTTATAACTGTACGGAGTCCATTCTCCTCAAAGCTTGGTGTCTGGTCAGAGCGCGAGAAATCGCCGGAACGTCGTTGCGAAGATCGAGTGGAGCATTTCTTTGGGCTTTGGCTCGTGACGTAGAACTGCCGCGAGATGGCGCTGTTGACGTGCGGGGAGACATGCTCGCGCCTGTGTTGGTGAGTACCGTCGTGGTACTTGTGCGGGGAAACCTCCGGTTGATGCCTCTGTTCGTATGCAGTGTCCGTCGGCGGGGATTTCCCTCTCTGTTGCCTGTGCTGGTATTCCGTGTGTCTCTTCAAGGAGATCGCCGGCTGCTGTCTTTGCTCGTATGCCGTGGCGTGATGTTTGTGCTGGTGCACGCTGTATTTCCGAGCGTTGAGCAGCTTTTCGTGAAGTATGCTATACTGCTGTTGTTTATATTTAGCCTCGTTACCGAATACCTTCTCGCGCTTAGATCCCCTAGGGTCCTCCATGTCAGGCCTTCTCGAAGGTGCTGATAATTTAGTTTGTTTCGTGAAGCTCTGTTTTGTATGATGAATACTTTTGGCGTCGTTTTTAGGTACTTTAAAACGGTTAATGAAGCCAATATTACCGTTGATTAGACTATCAGTTTTATTTTCAATAGAGTGTCTAGGCTGCATTTGATATAGGAGGTTGGGTTTATAAGCTTTGGGCTTCTGTTTTAAAACAACCTGCTCATTAGCATGCATCTTAGCTTTATGCCAAGCCTGCTTGATGTTAAAAATAGGAGATTTGGGTTTTACATTTTTAAAATGTGAGCCAAAATGCATCGTGTTGTTATTTAATGTTTGCTTTGTGAGATATCTTTGTGAGGCGTGTTTGGTAAAGGTAGCTTTTTTGGGTTCAGTCACACTCAGCTTTGTTGGTTTTTGTCTTCTGTTATCAAAAGGATTCGTTCTTATTTGCTTTTGTAAATGTGTGTCTGGGTTGCGTTGAGAGGTGTGCGGTCTGAGGGTTGAAGACATCTGGGGTGTGGTTTCCCGTTTTATGGGCCATATACCCGGGTGAGCATTTTTTGACTGCGTTCGTGTAGCTTCTTCAGAAATAATGAGAAAACTTTTAACCAGTTTTGACATAGATGTCGAGATATGAGTTGTGGTTCTTCCACCGTGTGAGGTAGCAGCTGTTTTGTGGGCGTCCCTGGGGCGTGGCCTGTACACTGGGATGTGGCTAACGTTGTTTTGAATATCTTTTTGTGACGTCTTGGATTTGGTTGCGGACGAGTCCTTGTTGATTTTCATGGTGTAGCTTTTGGTGGAGCGCTGGTACCCTGGCACGGGTGTGTTGCTGGTTCTCTGGCTCTCGCTCTTCACCGGGCTGGTCTGTTCAGACTTACAAAATATCTGCCCCATCAGGGACGCTAATAAAAGTTCCCCGGATTCCAGTCTCGCTGACGCCGGTAGACTTGGTTGTCTTTGGCACTTCATGGGCGAAGGTTCTCGAAAAGCTTGCTGAGGTTCGATTGACTCCGGACCTTCCTCGCCCTTAATACCGTTGGGTGAGTTCTCTTGAGTTTTGTTACCATTTGGATCCATATGCTGGTTTCTCAACAAGGTGTTCTGAGCTTTTATGCTGTCTATTATTTGTTGCAAAATATGCCTTTTGATATCTAAGTTGCCTTTTATTTCTAACGGTTTCTTCTTTTCGTCCAAAGGAAGGTTATTGCCCAAATTTTCAGCTAATTTGGAGTTTAGGTTAGGATTAGGTACCGTGTGGGTTACATTGTGTGCGCTGCGCAATAATACGACCTCGTTGTCTTGTTTCTGTGATAGGGCATCTAGTTTTTGTTGGCTGGTTGTGATACTCGGTGACACCTTCAGATTGTGATGGTTGGCCGTGGAGAGTGGTGTCACCTTTAGAATATGAAGGCTGGCTTCGGAGTGTGGTGACACCTTCAGATTCAGAAGGCTGGCTTGGTGTTGGGGTGACACCTTTAAATTTTGATGGCTGGTTTGGCGTTGCGGCGATACACTATGCTGGCTGGTTAGCTTGACGGGTGAGACGAGACCTAGATTGTGGTGACTGGCTTGGGGTTTGGGCGCCAAGACCTGCACGTCTTGCTGGCTGTGTTGAGGTTTGGGTTTGCGTGTCAGCACGCCGTTCTCGTGTGTTTTCGTGTGTGAGTGGTGCCGGGCCAGCAGCTTCTCCGTGTCGATTGTGTACTGAAGGTGTGACGTCATCTGGCTGCAGTTCCCCATCTCGCATGTCGTGTTGTCCTGGGTGTGTGTCCCACACAGTCGACACGCGTCGGGGCTGCAGATGTGTCGGAGTCTTTTGTTAGAAATCGGAGAACTGTTTGGATCGTCTTTATTGTTAACAGTCAGCTGACTAGGTGGGGTGCCAGTTTCTTCCATCGCTCCACTTAGATTACTTACCTTCATATAAAGTCCTGTGTTATTTTTCTCTTCTGCTGGCAAGTCCTTGCTTTGTGTGTTTTCTTTAGAAGAATAATCCATCTTTAGCGTCGCGGCTTTCAACAATGCACACGACGAGTCTTTAAGTTTTGTTGCACTTCGACCCGAGCCGTCATTTGGCTCTGGGTTTTGTCCACTGGATAAGTTTTTACCAGAATTGTGTGAGCTGTTCTCTGGTGTGATGTGGGTAGAGTCTTGGGTTTTCTTCAGCAGCAGCGGTAGTATGTTTTTCAACACGGAGCTCTCCTCACTAACCGAGACCTTTTCTTGCACGCTTTTTGGAATCGGACTAATTGATTTCGAGATCATCTGATCGGCTCTTTTGATGAGCTGCTCCAACTGCAAAGACTGTAACACATTCTCTGAGATGGTTTTATCCATACTTTTTCTGAGTAGGTTGTTAGAAGTGTTGTCTGAACGAGGCGGTTCTTCTGAGGTATTCACGTCACCTGTTTTAGTAGGAAATGCTAACTTGGGAATAACATTCCTGTCCGATGAAACCACATTCGACTGCCGCGAAAGACTATTTTCTGAATTTCTAATGATACTTTTAAAATTTTGTTTAGTCTTTGTTTCATTTGTTTCAGTACGCATGTTAGATCTTTTATACAGAGGAATCCTACTGTGTTTTTGAATTTTGTTTCGTTCACTAGCGACATTGTTTTTTGGCACAACTCGTTGCGGATCCTGTTGGTTTAATCTCGTTTTTAAGTTCACTGGAGCTGTTTTTTCAATCGTCTCCTTTTCCTCTGTCCCATCGCAGTAGGTAGGAGAAACTAGAGTCGGCGTCGGCATAGATAAAATACTCAGCTGCTGATGCGTACCTTTATCCAGCAGAGTCAGCGGTACGGCCGTCAGATCGTTCTTCCCGCCCCACCCATCGTCGTCCAGAATCGAGTTCAACTTCTCAACCATGAAAACGTTGCGAACGATTTCCGCGCTATCCCCGCTGGTGGTGGCGTCTAGCAGGGGGGAGTTATTCTGCTGTAAAAGGGAATTAAAAAACGACTTCACCAGTTCCAATTTAAGTGGACTTTCTTGCTGAGCTTTCAACGCCTCGCTTTCTACGGATTTCAAATTCTGGTTGGGTGTCTTGTTGAGTTTTTCAACGGCAGTTGGTATCTTGTTCAATTTATGATCTGGAGATAATTGTTTTTGTGTTGGCTGGTTTTGGCCGCGAAGGGGGTTAAAGTATTTCAGTGTGTTGATAGACATCTTTGGACGTTGTAGTAAAGGTTTAGATTCGTGGACGAAGTTTCTGCCTTGTGGTTGTGTTATTAATGCATGTGCACGTTTAAAGTGATCTTTGCTGACTTTATGAGTCAGTATTGGTTTTGGTGGCGCGGATTTTATTTTTTTCCGATTTTCAAGGTCAGGTTTTTCCGTTAACGGTATTTTCCCCTTCATTGGCCCAAGAAACTTTACTGATTCGGAATATGCTTTTTTGTTACGACTTTCGTCTCTTTGTTGTTTTTTAACGTTTTTTCTCTCTTGGGTTTTGCCCATCTTGACCAAACCCTCGCGTATTGACCTAATGTTGGAGTACGGCTGGAACTTCGTGTTGTTGTGCTTCCTGCGTATGGCACCAACGGTCGCGGGCGTCTCTACGGTGGCCTGGTCGTAGAGTTTCTTTAAGTTGCAGGCCGACTCCAAAAGGCAGTTGAGAACATCGACCGTTGTCGTGCCCAGCGAATCGTTTCCGGTGGTCTTCTCACTCTCGCAGACGATGGAGTCTGGACGCTGAGACGACCCAAGTGTTGAATTTGTCTGAGAATGCCCGTGGAAAAAAGAGCCGAGGTTGTCTTCATTCCTGAACATTTCTAAAAAACTTGTATGTTTGGGGTAAGCGTTTGTGTTTTTTAAAGGCCCAGCCCGTTTCTTTGAAGTCCCAGCAAGTGGAAAGTTGGGATGCCGAAGTTGATTTAATTGTTTAGATAAAGAAAAAGCCAGAATTTTCTGTTGGATATTTGCTTCGGACTGAGCCCTGGCCCATGCTTGTTCTGTTGAACGTTTCCCCCATGTCTTATCGGAAAATATGTTGTCGCATCCTTTGTCCAAAAACCTTTTGTCCAAGGATGTATCGGAATATCTTCTGTCCAAACTAAAGTTTGGAGATCGTTTGTACGCTGCTTTGTCTGAAGATGGTATATCCGATGCAACACTTGGAGATCTTTTGTCCAATGACTTGTCTAAAGATCTTCTGTCCCAACCAAAGTTTGGAGATCGTTTGTACGATACTTTGTCTGAAGATCTTATATCCGAGGCAACGCTTGGAGATCTTTTGTCTAATGACTTGTCTAAAGATCTTCCCGAGCCAAAATTTGGAGATCGTTTGTACGATGCTTTGTCTGAAGATCTTATATCCGAGGCAACGCTTGGAGATCTTTTGTCCAATGACTTGTCTAAAGATCTTCCCGAGCCAAAATTTGGAGATCGTTTGTAATATGCATTGTCTGAAGATCTAATGTCAGAGGCAACATTTGGAGAGGACTTATCTGAAGATTTTCTGTCAGTGCTGAAATCTGGAGATCTCTTGCTGAATGATTCCTTGTAATGTCTTTTGCCCAAAACATTCGCTGAATCTCTTTTGTTCGAAGTCTTGCCTATAGGTCTTTTAAGACCTTTAGGTGACATAATTGGGGAAGACTTAGCTTTGGTAATGACTTTTGAAGCTTTATCTGATTTTTTAACACCACGGTATACTTTACCCTTTGCTTTCGTTCCATGTGCGCTCTTTCCAGGAACTCTTTTATCATGGTGGATTCTGTTGTTTCCAAAAACCTGCTCGAAAGACAATTTATCTGGTAGAGAGTCTTCTGGCGAGCTTTGTTGTGTTATGTTTTTAGTAGACCATCTTCTCTTCGCGTCGTTTCCGCGAAGCTTATCATCAAGTATGTTCTCTGTACTTTGATCTTCACCGAGGTGTGGCTCGGAACAGATGACGTACGAGGCGGAACCGGTCAACCTTTCGTGTTTTCTTTTCTTGGTCGGCTGCAGGTCAACGGTCTCGCGGTAATGCTGCTCTTGGTGTCTTCTAGGAGGTTTCCTCTGCAGCTCTTCTGTTACCTTCGGTTGTTTTGTTTCCTTTTTTACGCCATCTTGAGCTCGCTTCACGAAGCGCTCCTCTATAGAAGATTTAGGGGTTGGTATTCTTAACGTCGCGGTTTCGCAGTGAGATACATCGTCTGCAAAACTAGTTTCCCGCTTGTGGGTGTCTGTATCAACAGAGCTGGATTTATCGGCAGGATCTTTAGTTGGGTAAAAACTCCGTTGGGATTGATTCGGGAAAGGGAATACATCCATTTTCTCAATATAAGCCGCCGAGCTTAAATTAGTTTTGCCTGCAGCCTTATCGTATAGGAACTTCCTGGAAAATTGTTTTCTGGGAGATGGTTTTCCTGGTGGTGGTTTTCCATCTGGGATGGCCTTGGCATTATTTTTTACCTCGAGTTTGTCTTTAGCTTTATGCGTTTCGAGCATGTTTTGGCCACTAACAGTCACTTTGTGTCGCCTCAACTGCTGCGTTATGTGCTCCTCAGCTCGTTCAACTTCCGTCGTATCCTGGGTATCGCTGACGCTAGTGAGCTCGGGGATGTACTTTGTTGAGACCCTTTGGCTGGTTGTGACTACGCCATCGCTTTCAGTCGGCTGAAATATATCATTGGTCGTTGTCGTCCTACACGGGACTACACTTGATTTTGTGCATATTTTCAGCATCTTCTCCTCAAAGATCTGAACATTTTTATCGTCTGCCTGAAAAGGCAGCAAATTCCAATATTGTGGATATCCGGTGGCTTCTGTTGTCGGGGCTTCTTTTCGTGAAGGCGGGTTAGTCGTCTTTAAAGCCTCGACGTTTTGTTTTTTATAATTTAGAAACGTGCTGATTTCATAAGGTTTGCTAGACAACTCGATTTGACATCTATACGACTCGTGAGAGATGGATTTGGTTTCCTTATCACCAGTACCGGTGCCAGATTCTGTAAAAGTCTCATCGGGAGGATGCGTGCGTCTGCGGAGAGGCTTTGATGCCTTGGGGGGACATGGAAGCGGTGGGTTCGAGGCCGCGTTGATGTATTTTTTACGGATCATGTTCAGGTCACCGCACATGAGATCTGTGGCCGCCTCGTCTGCCGTCACGGTCGACCGGCTGATTTCATACTCCAGGATCCGAGACAACCGGAGCGTGTCGTGACTCACCGTTTCGCTGAATGACTCATTCTGGGCGTGGTTAGCGCGCCGGTCGGTATCCGTGCTGGTGACTTTTTCCTGACTTTTGTTTTTACCCAGAGTGCTTTGCGAAAACGACATTTTGTCTTCGGCGTAGTCAGGAACGAGGCACATAACTCCGTCGAACTTGTCTATCACGACGGCTGCGTTCAGTTTTGGCGTTTTCTTTCTGTCGCCGTGATCCACTTGTTCTGATTGGTCCGCAGTCGAGTCACGTGATGCGTCTTCGCTTCTACCCTGGCGAGGCAATGGCTGTTTGGCTGAATGCTTTTTTTCTGCTTTCTGTTTCCCATGTTTAGAAGTAGAAGGTTTGGATACTTTCTTCCGGGCGTCATCTCCATCTCCACCAGCTGTGGACGTGCCCTCGCCAAACGCATTCGCCCATTCGCGTTTGATGTGCTTCTCCGCACGGTGGTTCCTCTGGAATGTTCTTTTTATCTTGGCCAACATGGGGATCCTAAACAGTTGCAACACACATCGTTAGTAGTCTCGAAATTTTTTTTAAACAAAAAAAAACCGGGTACATCTAGGATAAAGATAAATTCAGGTTTTTTTTCCCAAGGATTCATAGTGCAGGTGGAGTGGAGTTCACAATTTTTTTATAAAGGGATAACATGGTCAGCACTAATAACCAGCCACCTTTACTTTTCCCCAACGTATGTCAGGTACGCATTGTTGCATTACTTAAACAGTCACAGTTTTCTGAGTTAACCTTAATACTTTATTCCTATATACAGACAGCTCAGGCGACACGTCCTGTCTCTGACTAAATCGTTCGTTAACTGTCGCACAAGTACACATCTGATACACATCAAGGAAGACACAGCGAATACTCAAGGGACGTAACCATGATATTCATAATACAAGGGACGTAACAATCACTAACAAAACATAGTGTAACGCGCATCAGAGCAGGGCGGACCCTGAGGAGCCTTAGTCAAGAGTCCGAACTTGATGGCTCTATCTCTCAATCACACAATCCATATATCTAGGATAAGTAATGTTAAATAGTGTTGCAAGCTCTGTTCCTTACCATCTTGCCTTCACGAAATCCCGCAACACCTTGAAGCTGGTATGAATAAATCCTGTGTGAGAAGACATAGACAAATAGTATCAAGCACCTGCCAATTATCAATTCGCTCTTAATGGATGTCGGATTCGGGGCTTTTGAAATATTTTGTCGTTTCAGTATATATATATATACATATATATATATATATATATATATATATATATATATATATATATATATATATATATATATATATATATATATACATACATATATATATATATATATATATATATATATATATATATATATATATATATATATATATATATATATGTATATATATGTATGTATGTATGTATGTATATATATATATATATATATATATATATATATATATATATATATATATATATATATATATATATATATATGTATGTATATATATATATATATATATATATATATATATATATAATATATATATATATATATATATATATATATATATACATACATATATATATATATATATATATATACATACATATATATATATATATATATATATATATATATATATATATATATATATATATATATTCATATATACATATATATATATATATATATATATATACATATATATATATATATATATATATATATATATATATATATATATATGATCTTACGCTGTTTTAGTATGTAGAGTCTATGTAGCTTAAGTCAAAACCAACTATCCAAAATAAATTAAACAAATATTTTCATTGAAGCTCAGAATTTGTCTATTTGATCTAAATCATTTCTTTGGTGCTGTCACCCACATCGACCCTCTATTCCATCTCCCCCCCCCCCCCCCACACACACACACACTACCACCTCCCCTCACCATTATCTGATAACCCCGTCTGGAGCATCTCTTACATTATATATTTTCTGGCATAACCCTTTTAATACACCGCTAAAGACTCATATTAATCGCTTTGGTTCGTGAACTGCTATTTAACTATTTAGAAAATCCCAACAAAATAAACAGACATGCATAGTATTGGTAACAAAACTGTGTTTACCGTCTTTAACGATGGGGGGCAATGTTGGATATTTCCATACCTGAAAGCAAAACAAGTTTAAAGTCGAATTAATAATTTTAAAGTCGAATAATAATTTTAAAGTCGGCTCTAAAAACGTGACGTGGTATCTGAATGACCTCCTAGGGCAATAGAGAAACTAGAGTCAGATATCTATATATATAGATCTAGAGAATAAAGCTCTAACGATCACTTATCCAACAAATATACATTTAGTTAACAATATATTACTTTACTGACTGACAAAGTGGTGTGATGTTTTCACCAACAGTTGTGTTGTTTACCTTGAGTGTATGCAACATCCTGATGGAGGCTGAATGAACGACCATCCATACCCTGTTGGAAGCGACCAAAATACAACACGGGAATGTATTAGTATTGTATTAAGTGCATTTATATATATATATATATATATATATATATATATATATATATATATATATATATATATATATATATATATATATATATATTTATTTATTTATATATATATATATATATATATATATATATATATATATATATATATATATATATATATATATATATATATATATATATATAATCCAATCTCGATCTCCATCCCTCTCTGTTTTTTCCAATGCATTTCGTTTGTATGTAAGTAAAGATATCTCTTTAGACATAGCGATCCATTGGGCAGATCGGCAAATGACTTAAAGTTGCCGTCTTTAGGCTCCCATCAAAGACGTATCCTTACATAACCTACCCTACACACCCTACCCTACACATCCTACCCTACACACCCTACCCTACACATCCTACCCTACACATCCTACCCTACACATCCTACCCTACACATCCTACCCACAGCGTGTACTTACACACATCCTACCCTACACATCCTACCCTACACATCCTACCCTACACATCCTACCCTACACATCCTACCCTACACATCCTACCTCACACACCCTACACTACACATCCTACCCTACACATCCTACCCACAGCGTGTACTTACACACATCCTACCTTACACATCCTACCCTACACTCCCTACCCTACACATCCTACCCTACACATCCTACCCTACACATCCTACCCTACACACCCTACCCTACACATCCTACCCTACACACCCTACCCTACACATCCTACCCTACACATCCTACCCTACACATCCTACCCTACACATCCTACCCTACACATCCTACCCTACACACCCTACCCTACACATCCTACCCTACACATCCTACCCTACACATCCTACCCTACACATCCTACCCTACACACCCTACCCTACACATCCTACCCTACACATCCTACCTCACACACCCTACCCTACACATCCTACCTTACACATACTACCTTACACATCCTACCCACAGCGTGTACTTACACACATCCTACCTTACACATCCTACCCTACACACCCTACCCTACACATCCTACCCTACACATCCTACCCACAGCGTGTACTTACACACATCCTACCTTACACATCCTACCCTACACTCCCTACCCTACACATCCTACCCTACACATCCTACCCTACACACCCTACCATACACATCCTACCCTACACATCCTACCCTACACATCCTACCCTCAGCGTGTACTTACACACCAACCTACCCTCAGCGTGTACTTACACACCAACCTACCCTCAGCGTGTACTTACACACCAACCTACCCTCAGCGTGTACTTACACACCAACCTACCCTCAGCGTGTACTTACACACCAACCTACCCTCAGCGTGTACTTATACACCAACCTACACTCAGCGTGTACTTACACACCAACCTACCCTCAGCGTGTACTTACACACCAACCTACCCTCTGTACTTACACACCAACCTACCCTCAACGTGTACTTACACACCAACCTACCCTCAACGGATACTTACACACCAACCTACCCTCTGTACTTACACACCAACCTACCCTCAACGTGTACTTACACACCAACCTACCCTCAACGGATACTTACACACCAACCTACCCTCTGTACTTACACACCAACCTACCCTCAGCGTGTACTTACACACCAACCTACCCTCTGTACTTACACACCAACCTACCCTCAGCGTGTACTTACACACCAACCTACCCTCAACGGATACTTACACACCAACCTACCCTCTGTACTTACACACCAACCTACCCTCAACGTGTACTTACACACCAACCTACCCTCAACGGATACTTACACACCAACCTACCATCTGTACTTACACACCAACCTACCCTCAGCGTGTACTTACACACCAACCTACCCTCAGCGTGTACTTACACACCAACCTACCCTCAGCGTGTACTTACACACCAACCTACCCTCAGCGTGTACTTACACACCAACTTACCCTCAGCATGTACTTACACACCAACCTACCCTCAGCGTGTACTTACACACCAACCTACCCTCAGCGTGTACTTACACACCAACCTACCCTCAGTGTGTACTTACACACCAACCTACCCTCAGCGTGTACTTACACACCAACCTACCCTCAGCGTGTACTTACACACCAACCTACCCTCAGCGTGTACTTACACACCAACCTACCCTCAGCGTGTACTTACACACCAACCTACCCTCAGCGTGTACTTACACACCAACCTACCCTCAGCGTGTACTTACACATCAACCTACCCTTAGCGTGTACTTACACACCAACCTACCCTCAGCGTGTACTTACACACCAACCTACCCTCAGCGTGTACTTACACACCAACCTACCCTCAGCGTGTACTTACACACCAACCTACCCTCAGCGTGTACTTACACACCAACCTACCCTCAGCGTGTACTTACACACCAACCTACCCTCAGCGTGTACTTACACACCAACCTACCCTCAGCGTGTACTTACACACCAACTTACCCTCAGCATGTACTTACACACCAACCTACCCTCAGCGTGTACTTACACACCAACCTACCCTCAGCGTGTACTTACACACCAACCTACCCTCAGCGTGTACTTACACACCAACCTACCCTCAGCGTGTACTTACACACCAACCTACCCTCAGCGTGTACTTACACACCAACCTACACACACCGTGTACTTACACACCAACCTACCCTCAGCGTGTACTTACACACCAACCTACCCTCAGCGTGTACTTACACACCAACCTACCCTCAGCGTGTACTTACACACCAACCTACCCTTAGCGTGTACTTACACACCAACCTACCCTCAGCGTGTACTTACACACCAACCTACCCTCAGCGTGTACTTACACACCAACCTATCCTCAGCGTGTACTTACACACCAACCACTAACACACCGTGTACTTACACGCCAACAGCGAAACAAACACCAAGAGCCTGAAACAGGAAGTAGGAAGTGGAGGGGGGCGGTGGCGGTGGTGGTGGCGCCTCCTCGGGCTGTGGAATGGGGGGCGCGTTGTCAACCGACTTAAAACCAAGTTTCTCTAAAATGTAGACGTCTAAACTCTCTAGCATCGAAGTGTTCATCTCTGGGGATAGAAGCAAACACTGACGTCATAACGGAGGGGGGAATTTTAAAAAAAAAATTAATAGAAATTTGACGTCATCTATTACTGAGGTGTGGACTTAAGTGACGTCATGTAACACTGAAGGAGTTTGGAATGCTGCATGAATGACGTAAAGATTTGTTTTGCTATTGTTATCCACCCCCCCCCCCCCATTACTCCCCTGTTGTCAGTTTATCTATCCCAACCACAACCTCAACTTAAATGACGTAAAATGAGCATCTCCCCCACACCCGAATGGAATGTTTTTTAGTAGTTATTTAGCATACATACTCATATATATATCTTTGACAATTTTTTTCCCCAACGTTTATACGTCAGATCCAAATACACACATTCACACAAAACAATCACACACCACCCCACACACACCTATACATTCGTAATCAGGCTTTATTCCAGGCATCTCTTTTGGGGGGGGGGGGGGCGAAGAAAGGAAGAAAGTCTACCCCCCCCCCCTCCCCCCCCTCCCCCAATGAAATTGAATTTATATAGAAAATATATACTTTAAACAGTGTCTGGGGGAAACACTGATTTCACTGGATCAGACTACCAATGTGATCAATCCCTTTAAACTAACGGGCTTCTAGAGGCGAGCGACTGTTTTACACACAAGACAAACAAGGGAGGTAAGTTCTACCTGCTACGTCTTGAAATTATGGAAGTGCTCCCGTTGTTGTATGTAGATGTACTGTGTCATTTTATTCGTCAAGTCCACAACACACGCTCCGCCTCCCTGCCTCATGTATGCTGGTCGGCCTCTGTCTTGGGGACTTAGATTGGCATATACATACATACATATATACATATATATATATATATATATATATATATATATATATATATATATATATATATATATATATATATATATATATATAATATGAATGTATATGTATAGGTGAGTATGAGTATAGTATGTATATATGTATAGAAATATAGTGAATAATTAATTAAAAGCAATTGACCACTTTGCACAATCTGTACAATTATAGCATAGTTATCCAGCTTTGCCCAGAATCGTGGATAAGACGTGTCTGCTGTTTGTTTTTCTCACATTTTAAAACAGCAGTAGAATAAAACATAAAACACATATTGAAAAGCAACACCTGCGTCCTAATTTTGCTAATAAAATAATTATAGGACCCATTATATTTATAGTTAACTATTATTTTATTTATATCAATAAAATTAAAACAAATCGAGAGTCAAAAGTCAAAACGATCATATTCAACATAAACTTCATAAACTTAAAGACTTATATTTTATTAAACTCTTTTACTTTTAAATATTCCCCAAACGACTCAGCGTTGTGTAATGTATGCCTATGTAGATCTTTAACTACTTCACGCTGAAAATATACCTGCAATGGGTTTAACTGAACAGATGCCCAGGTAAATTATTACCCACCCTTTTCCCAGAAGAATGGACAAAACTACTCCTTGTGAATGTCATAGAGTCGGCCGTCTGTCTCAAAGAAGGAAGTGTATTTCAGCCATTTAAATGCGCACTGTCTGCGGTTAGTGCGCACTTGCTGTGCGTTCAAATGGGAATTCCCAAAACATTGCCTAATTATGTAGTCTAGTACAGTAGTGTATATCAGTTTTTAATGATCTTTGGTTTAAAATTAAGAGTAGCGATTGCTCAACATTTTAATCAATGAAATAACGATCAGGCCAAATGATAGTTACAAGTCAGTCTCACATAAGCACCATTTTAGAATGGGCGTTGAAAGTTTTACTTCAGTGCGCATGAATATGTACATTTTACCAGAGGCGTAGCGACCCTTCCCGGCGCCCGGGGACAAACTTTCGATTTGCACCCCCCTCGAACTTTTCATTTGCACCCCCCCCCCCCTCAAACTTTCAATTTGGCGCCCCCCTAAGGTCGGCGCCCGGGGACATATGTCCCCCCCCTACCGCCCCCCTCGCTACGCCTCTGCATTTTACTTATGTTTGAGGAAAATTTAAATAAATAAAAATCGTTCCTATCATTAAATAAGTCCCAAAAAATGTGAGTTGGGGTGAATCACATAATAAAATGTTATATTATAGGCTTTAGTTAACTTAAGTAATATTAAGTATGCTTTTCGTTTTTCGTAGTCCAACTTTGGGACATAACATTAGATGATATTTAATATTAAAATCCGTCATTGCCCTATACAGTATTTTTGTTAATGGCTTGTGATTGTATTTGACGTGCTAAACGAAATTTAAATCTGATTTTGCATTTTTGTGAAAAATAGATCCAGAATCTAGAAAATCTAGATTTATTAGGATTACTGAAGTAACATAGTAAAGCAGTTGTGATAGTTTCTAGATCTACTTCCGGAACTAACACACAAAGATGGCTGACGTCCTAAGTATTTTGCGTCAATACAATATCAACAAAAAAGAGATTGTAGAAAAAGATGATCAAATTATTTTCGGAGAATTTGCATGGCCGAAGAATGCTAAAACAAATTATGTCATTTGGGGTAAGTTATTAATTTGTAATGATATTTAGAAATAATAAACACAGAAATGAGAATCGTCGCATAATCAGATGGTTTCCATCGACTGTTTTGAAGTCGTCGAAGTCAGTGTGCGTGTCCCTTGTTGTAGTTGTGATCAGTAATCTAGATCTACAATATAGATTCTAGATCTAGACTTGTTGAATTAAACCTATTAGGGGCCTATTTACATACATCTAGGTGCCTGAATTGTTACCAGCTCACACATTTCAAAACACTAGATCTAGAACTAGAGGAGCTTACACTTTTCGGACACACATAGCGAAAAAACGCAACGTAAAAATTCCATGCGGTCTCATTCAGTAACCGCTTAACATAGAAAACAAAAAAAAGTATCATATCTATCCGCAACCATTCTACTTTATTAATGTGTGTGTCATTTTGTATTCATACGCATAGAACTTAAGCTATTCTTGTTATAGTGACTGGGGGGTCTTAACGTGTGTTCGAACACACGTAATACAGTTTTACATGTGTTCGGACACCTTTACCCGTCATCGGACATAGCACTTTTTGTTCATTTAGAATAATTTAAAGTCAATTTAATGAATAAAAACATATATTATATGCATTTATATTGTGTTATTGATTGTTTGTGAGGTAATTTTAATAGTATAAAACCTTTTTCCCACACTTCCAAAGTTCATCCCATTCAGCCATTGCGGCTCGCGCAGTACGCTGCTAAGCCAGCCAGGTCACATGATTCCCCCTCCTCTTTCGCATTCCACTGCCTTCTTGACCTTATTTTGACCCTTTCCCTTCAATAACCAGCCCCTTTTATGCTCTAAATTCTTATTTAATAATATTTTTGTGTTGCTGTCCGATCCCATGTAAGGTCAAAAAAGTTAGCGAACACCCCTTTTTTATTGTTCAAGCACAAAAAAACCCATTAACCTTGACATTTACGATGTTCCATACATATATAGAAGCTATTTATAGTGTAACCTTTTAGCTAAGCATTGATTGGTTCAAGTTTTGCCCCTAAGTCCAACCCTAGGTCACTTCATCCGGCTGATGTAAAAATAGAAATGTGCGTACCATGCAACGTTAAAAAATTTCTAAAAATAATTCTTGAGAAAGGAAACGGAAGTACTTGACACGGAAGTGTTCATAAATGAACAGTTTACGTGCAGGCGCCGTGGTTTCGCGTGAGACATGCTAATTAAAGTTTCTATGAGCCAAAAACCGACGAAGTGTTCGGTCCTACGTAATTTTTGGTGTGTGTCCGAAAAGTGTAAACTCCTCTAGATCTAATATCTAATCTATATCTATTAGGGTGTGGGGAAATTGCGAGACGCGAAAAGCGAAATGGCGAGGCGGGAAAATGCGAGAAGGTAATGCGAGACATACCTGCGGAATTAAGGGTAAATAGCGAGGACACTTATTGCGAAAAAAGTTTTTTTCCTTTTTTTTTTCCATCTTTATTTATTTAAATTATTCTTTTTTGTTTTAAAATAAACAAGCATTTAGCCATACCCTTTAACACGAGTGTTGTATGTTGTTATTTTTTATCTAGATACTAAGAAGATAGATAGATCTATATCTAGATCTATCTATTTAAAAATCCTAACATCGTTGCTGTGCTACTGTCATCGCCCGCTCTTGTTAGCGAGAGGAAAATCCTGTCTCAGTCGGCATTAATTTAAAAATCTAGCCCGCTCATGTTTATACAAACGTGAGCTGTGTCATTGTGAATTGGTATAATCTTGTCAGCAGGAGAGATATTTTGCAACATCTATTTATGGATTTTTGTACTTGCAAAAAGTGTAAAAGTATAAACAATTCTAAAAAGTGCAATTTATTTTTTATTAAGTAATTTTAATTACAAACAATTTACAAACAAAATCTTCTGAAACAGTCCTCTAACACACCTCGTGACACCATCTTTCACACATAGTACACCCAACCCAGTTCATTAGACTCCCATTTATACATTTTTTCTTTGCTACTTCTTCCAATCCCACATTCACAACATTTCACATTCTCATCACAGTTGACCTCCTCGTTCATCCCACAAACAACACTGGCACCCATGTTCTCATCATCATCATCCGCACGCTCAACATCTGTTTTCCGTTTTTTTATCATTTCTGTAATTTTGGCAATTTCTTGCTCATTGTTGTCACCAGCAGTTGAGTTTTTTTAAAACATCGATATTTTCCCAAAAATCTTGTCTAATTTCGCTCAAAATAGAGTATTTTAATCAATTCCTTTTACAATGTATTAAAACAGTTTTCTAAAACGCGAAAAAAAAAAAACGTCTAAAATTATTTTTCTAACATTGCTTTTTTATAGTGTGACTTCACATCTAACCCCCCCCCCCCCCCTCCTCCCCCTCATCACACATCGTCATAAAATTACAGACCCCCCCCTACGAGTGTGACGTCATTTATGGAAGACCCCAAATAACACCACCACCAAAACAAAAAAATTCAGATAAGTTCAACTTGGTTTTAAAAATATTTGAAGTAGGCCCATAGCTTACGATATAGCACGAGCAACTGATAATATCGGTGACGTCACTTTATTTTGTTGTATCCAAATGATGTAGGCATTTCCTTGTGCTTAGATTTATATGGTAAAAAAAGCTAGAAAAAAATCGTAGGCGGCGGCTATAATACAAAATTTCTATGCAACAATAGAAAATACGTTTGCGGCGGCAGCGGAACCGGGCACGGCGATCTTCAAAGACGGTAAATCAGGCGGCCTCGGCGTTCCACACAAAAGACAGAAGTTGATCTATCGTCGGCGGTATTTCCGTCGGTTTCGAACAAGGTGGTATTCTAAGTCGACACAAAAGATGGGGGGAGTTGACAAATCATCAGTATGTCTAGCGACGGAAAAATCGGAAGTTTTAACAATGTAAACGAAACGTCTTTGAAGTCTGGACCAAATACCACTGAAAATCGGGTGCGGTAAATTTTTCGCAGAAATCTTCGCATTTCAACACCACCCAGCGTAAGTATCGGCTTGTGGTAAAATGCGAGACAAAAAAGTCACGTGACCGACCGTTTTCGCGCCCTTCTCGCATTTTCCCGCCTCGCCATTTCGCTTTTCGCGTCTCGCAATTTCCCCACACCCCCTACTATTATCTAGATCTAGATTCTAGTAGCTAGCTTTACACTTCACACTGCTTTAAAATTTAGCTTAGCAAAAAGCAAAACAAGGATCATTTTTAGTACTGTTAAGTCTAAGTGTTGGGCCTGTTTGAGTATTAAGGACTAGTTTTATTTTTGTTATTAACTAGTGTAATTATATAATTTCAGTTGCTAGACTAATTATATAAATACAGTTAGGCCTAAATAATTTAGTTAGTTCATATTTTGATCTGATAACAAGGGTGACCCCCCCCCCCCCCCCCCCCCCCCCCCCCCCCACAGAATGTGTTCAGAAAAGCGACCTACTAACTAAACTTTTGCATTTTACACAGTTATTTCAAAGGCTTTTAATGTTTTATAGGCCTAAACTAATGTTGACCAAGCTGGATATCATATTTTATTTTTACTTTAACTAGCCTATTTTAAAACTATTTTTATATGGCTTTTTTGTTTCTCACTGTACAACTTTTTATGCTTCCAGAACTGGCAAAGTTGGAGTAACAAAAGAATACTACACTCTTGACTCCATCTTGTACTTGCTGAAGAATGTTCATCTTCAGCATCCTCACTACGTCAGAGAAGCTGTTGTAAGTTATTCTTTACTAATTTTATCACAACTTATTTAAATTTAACACCAATTTAAAGGTTTTTATACATTTTATGCCTAAAAGAAATATCAATGTTCTAAGAATAAATTGTGCTATCTGATGCTGTAGGCTGCAAACATAAGTGTAGTTCGTCGTCCTGATAGGAAAGATTTGTTAGCGTACCTAAATGGCGAGACCAATACAGCCAGCAGCATTGATAAAAGTGCCCCACTTGAAATTTCACAACGCCCTACACAAAGTAAGTTCCTTTTGCTGCTGTAAAGGATTCCTTCACCTTTCTGTCTTGTCTGTTATATCAGTATAAGTAAACCTTGAATTAAAATATAGCACTCATTGTTTAATTATAACTGTTGAGCAGGCTAATTCAAATGATTATGATCATAAGTACAGTACATAAATATATTTAGTAATTGATTATCTCATGAGTATGTTTTATTTACCCCCTAAGTTAAAAGAACTGCTGAAGATGTTGGTGGTGAAAGTGATAAGAAAAAACCAAGGCTGGAGGTATGAATATTTCCTTAGTTTTACAAACATCAGGCATTTTTTGGTTATTTCTTCTTTGTGTTTTTAGCTAGTATTTTAGTTACATGGGATTTTTAAAAAAAATTTCTTCAAATTACTGTTTTATCAATTAAAAAAAAAATGGGGGGGGGGGGGGATTATTTTTCTTGCTACAGGAGAACATCAAACTTAATATTAGTATCAGTCACATGTCTTTTTTTTTCAATAAGTGCTTTACTTTAAAGAAAACTATAAATGTCATAATGTGTGGATAACAATGTTGTATACTTTTAAACTTGTAGGATCCACAAGTGCAGATTGAAAAAATGAACTGGATCAACAAAATTGATGGTGGGAGGGATACATCTGTCTTACCTTCAATGGGGTAATTTAAGGATTTTAATTGACTTTTCTCTTAGGAATATATTTCTGTTGTAGATTTTACTTTACCTAAAGGGTTGCCATGTATTTGAATCAACTTGATACATTTTTTATCTTATCTAATTTACCAACAAAAGTAATATTTAGGAAACAAAATTTTATTCATGTTTCACTCACTTTTCATTTGCAAAAGTCATGAGACATATAGCTTTAATTGTTTTATTTATTGCTATGATTGGTACAATTTTTGTTATCAGTATAAATAACCTTGCGAGCTAACTTTTTTATTGTTAATCAAAATGGCAAAATTCATTGTAGTTTTATTTTAAGCATTTTCATTAGCATATTATTAATCTAGCATTTGATATTCATTAGGTCTTCCTCTCTGCATGAGGCAATGCCATTAGAGAAAATTGCTGCAATCAAGGCAAAGATTTTAGCCATAAAACGTACTAAAATAAAAGGCGATGATGATTTGCAACCTGGAGCATTGGAACAGAGAACTTTCGTGGATGCTGAGGTGGATGTGACCAGGGACATTGTCAGCAGGGAGAGGTTATGGAGGACAAGGGCCACAATCCTGCAAAGTGTGGGAAAAGTAAGAATTACAACTTGTTTCACTTACTGAGGTCTATACTTGTTTTGGCTAGCAGTTAAACACTCTACTATTCCGCCTGGCCATTCCCTTCAACTAATAGGCTTTTTTGTTTATTGGTTGTAAATTTTATTTTTTCTAATCTTTCTTGCAGCAATTTGCAAAGAACATATTCAGCATTCTTCAGTCAATCAAGGCAAGGGAGGAAGGCTCCCAGCGCTCACAGATTCCAACACAGAGTACAGTCCCCACCTCAGCTGTAGGTTTAACATTTCTATACATTTAAGTAGTATGTGTATACAAGGAACCAGGTTGTTTACCTGAAAGTGTGCTTGATTTTAATTGATCTGATAACTTTGCACTTCTCATGGCTTTCAATACACTATCATTCCGGGTTGGCGTGGTCGAGTCGGTAAAGCTCATGGTTGCTAAACCGAAAAGTATCGAGTTCGAACCCTCGGGCAGATGAGGCTTATAAGCTGGGGACAGCAACTCTTCTAGGAGAGACAACTCCAAAATCAAACAACTGCTGCCTTGTAGTTTGTTGTTGGTTGAACAAAGGCTATGGAAGCAAATCCAAAAAGAAAAGCAGGCTGAAATCGGAGTCAATGGCCTCAATGGCGCATAACCAGTTGACACGTATTCTTAATTGTGATGGAGGCGTGGTCGAGTCTGCAAAAGCTCATGGTTGATAAATTCGAAAAAGTCTCAAGTTCAACCCTCTGTCAGATAAGGCTTGATCCCTTCCAACACTAAAAATTAAGAACGAAGAAGAAGAAGATACACTTCAGTCATATATGTGTACACAAGGAACAGGGTTGTTTGTCTGAAAGTGTGCTTGATTTTAATTGGTCTGATAACTTTGCACTTCTCATGGCTTTCAATACACTATTATTCCAACTAGATATCAATACTTCACAATTACTAAGCATAATCAACTATACACTGCTCGCACAGACTAAACTTAGAAGTACACATTACTGTGTACTACCCTCACATTACCACACAGACTATATCATAGGCTACCCGACACACCAGTACAACAGTACAAACCACTTTTCATAGTTCCATGACACAAGAGTCATTCATTTAAACTGCAGCACACTTTGATTACTTCTTTGTACAACAGTTTCCTGCCCGACAACTATCCAGCCATTAAAAGGTTTACACAAAACCTTAAGCTAAACACTAGATGTATATTTACTTGATTCAATAACAAATGTACATGGTGTGTATTTCCTCCCAGCCACAGACACGCCCCCCACAGGTAATAACTGGGTACAACAGATACGATCAGGAAAGATTCAAGGGGAAAGAAGGTAAGAGCCTTTAAAACTGCGTGGGTTTTAACCAGGCACTTCTCATTAGTAGATCTAAAAAAAATTGTATAATGGACTAAACAGCCTGGTTAATTGTCAATAGCAAATAGTACTTATAACAATCTTATATCTCTTAAGTTCTCATGATTTTCTAAAAAACATTGTCTCTAAATGAATACATTATTTGAAGCTTGAAATTATTTCCTAACAAATAATTTGGTGTAAAACATAAGTATAATGTTCTGTGTGTTTTATTCTTGTAGAAACTGAGGGATTCAAGATTGATACCACTGGTACTTTCCACGGTATGGCGCTGAAGTCTGTGACAGAAGGTGCTCAAGCCAGGAAAATGCCCCAACCAGCCCCGCAGCCCATACCACAGGCTGTGCCAGTTGTCCAACCAGTGTCCAGACCCATTTCACAAGCCAGGCCTCCACCCAATCAGAAGAAAGGTCAGTTGTTACAACACAACACACACAGCCTTTACTTGACCTGAACTATTTTTATCTTTGTTAACTCGATATCAAAATATATTTGAATTACGTTTTGTATCTTTTTTTTCTAGCATTTCTTTTCTTAAGTAATAATAGTTGATCTTTGTTCTAAACTAGATTTTGTACCTTTTTTTTTTTTCTATCATTAGTTTTCTTAATTAAGTAAAAATAGTTAATCTATGTTCTAAACTAGATTTTGTAGCTTTTTATAGCTTACTTTGATTTTATAAAATATATTTTAGGTTCCCGAACACCAATAATAATTATCCCAGCTGCCTCAACCTCACTCATCACAATGTTAAATGCTAAAGATATTTTGCAAGACTTGAAGTAAGATTTGTATTATGTAGTTTGTGAATACTTTATATAAATTAGCTATATGATATTGTGATCATCTGTAACATTATGTGAATACTTTATATAAATTGCGATATGATATTGTGATCATATGTAACATTATGTGAATACTTATATAAATTGTGATATGATATTGTGATCATATATAACATTATAAAATTATTCTTTAATGTGTCGACGTATTCTAATAGATAAATTAGTTGAGATATTTTTAAAAAGTAAAGTACCCATTTAGGACAAGACAGTCAGTTATGTAGTTGAAGTAGAGCTCATCTTTTTCTGTGCCCTCAACAATAAGAAAATGTTTGGGTCTAGGCCCAGCAACATTACTTCCCCTTGTTTGTTCTAACCCCAGCTAGTTGCATATAGGGATGTCGTATATGCCCATTTGGTAACTATCATCAGACTTATGAACCATGCCATCCCTTTCTAATATTTTTAAAAAATTATCACTTTTAATGTGTACAAGATATAATTTTTAAATCATGCAAAAGATTTCATACAGTCAGTCATCACAGCAGTTTTCCTAGCATATTTGTGTAGTTTACAATACTTAAAATTCCTTTGTAATTTTCTCTTAGGTTTGTCAGCACAGAGGAGAAGAAGTCTCAGGGAACAAAACGTGATAATGAGGTTCTCATACACAGAAGAAAGGAGGGGGGATTGACTGTACCCTACAGGATCATTGATAACCCTCTCAAACTCACACATGATGATTGGTAGGGCATCAGTCCATTTACTTATTAACATATACCAAACTAACATTTTTTTTCTATTGGTATTATTGTATTGAGATCTGTTTATGAATGGTTCATTTGTGATTTTTTTTTTTAATAAAACGTCATTTCCTCTTAGGGATAGTTCTTAATTGACTCATTACTAGTTTGGGTTTTAGATTTGAGTGGGGGTGGGGGTGGGAGGAGTATAAGTCAGAAACTTCATCTGTTTTGCATGTAACTAGTGTTGGTGAATGACTCTTCGTTTGTATAGTCCTGTGATAAAAAATATACATTTGTGTCTTGTTTTATAAATCATGTGACCCGCTAACCTGATAAGTTTTGTTGCCACAGGGAGAGGGTGGTGGCAGTGTTTGTACAAGGTCCTGCCTGGCAGTTCAAGAGTTGGCCATGGAGCGGAAACCCAGTTGAGATTTTCTCTAAAAGTCAGTTTTTTATTCATTACAATTTATTTTTTCTCCCCTTAAGTCAGCTTATTAATCATTAACACTGTTTTATTAAAATTATTTTCTCTTAAAATTTAATTCATTACAACAGTTTTAATTATTTTCTCTTGAAGCCAGCTTGTTAATCATTAAAACTAATCATTAAAACTAATTTTATTTTGACTATTCATTTATTTTATATTTAGTTTGTATGTAAACATAAACATGTTATTTTATATCATCAAACGCAAGAGAATGTTACAGGGGATTTAAGATTGAAGTAATTTATCTTTGTTATCAGTGCCTCACTTACATTTTTAAATTTACACTGAACAGTTAAAGCCTTCCACTTAAAGTGGTCAGAACTTCCCCTTGACAACAATGTCCAGAAATGGTCAGTGAACATTATGAATTTGGACAGACATCGCAGACATCTTGACAGAGCCACATTGCAACAGTTCTGGGAAGTCCTTGATAAGTATGTGGCCCTATTACAGCTGTGTTGTGACTATATATAATTCTCAAGATACAAATCTTTTTTGAATACTTTTTTCTAATATTAATCTTTAAGATATAAATCTATGTGGCTAATTTAAATCATACTCACATTTACTCACAGAGTACATTTTCTAATCATTGTCATTTGATATTTAGATAAATACGATAGAAATCCAAGCAGTATTATGTGTTAATCTCCGTAGACAAAAACAAAATCTTAAATAGCAGGAAATAAATATCATCAGTTTAATAGTAAATTCAAATGTCATTAAACACGCACACTTGATAACATTTGTAATTAATCAGATAATGACTACACAAGTTTGTCTACATGTGTTAAACTTTGAATTGTTGACAATGTTTCTCCCTCTAAATCCTCAGGTATATGATCAAAAACAAACCTCACCTGCGTTACTGACCATTGGACCAAGGACAGTTGTTTACATTGTATTCCCATGTTTGGTATTTTTTTTCTTCCATGTTGATTAAATCTGTGACATGACCAAGCTTCAGGTAGCTTTGGTTTAAAAGAAGAAGAAAAATAATTTTAAACTTTTTTTCCCCCCTTCCATGGTGCTGGGCCCATGCTGAGCAGCTAACTCATCCAATTAAGGGCATCTGCAGATCCTCATAGCATTAGAACTCATTGTTTACCAATTCTTTTTACTGAGGGTGTGCCTGCAGTTCCTCTTAGCATTAGAACTCATGGTTTACCTATTCATTTTACTGAGGACTTACCTGCAGATCCTCTTGACATTAGTACTCATTGTTTTCCCATATGCAGCAGCACTTCTATAAAGTTTGTATTATAAGTTACATTGCTCATACTTTGATGAATCATGCCAATCACCACACATCATCTCTGTCAACCTGATAACTCTTCATGTAAGAAGTTCATGTAATGTGTATACAATGTCAAGGATGAAACTTGTTTTTGCAGTTGATCTTTATTTTTGAAATAGTATATTATTTGCTTAGTTACGTTGAAGTCTTGTTGTTAATAAATATGAGAAGCATCTGATTTGTAATTGAACATTCTGTGAATAGGCTCTTCTGTTTTACCAAAGACTACCGTTGTTATATCTTGGCCATCTTATATGTACCAATACAATACTTTTGTCCCAGTTTTTTGTGATAAGCTGTGTTTGAACAACTGGTGTATTGATGGTTTTTTTTTTAACATGCACTTCAATGCTGTAATTGGCCGCAATGCTAAGGGTACAATAGTGAAGCCCTAGCAGTTAAAAAATTTAAGCCTTGGTGGTTCAACTGTTTGAATCTTCATAAAAAAATATTTTTTTTTGTGTAGAGAAATTAAATTGACATAATCATTAATTAAACATTTGTTTTGTTATTAGAATTTTGTTCTGTAAACAAAAGTTATTAAGTTGATGCTAGATAAGTGATGTATGTAGATCTAATTACTTGCTATTTAGTAGACTAGAAAATTTCTTGTACCCAAATACATTAAGGTAGGTTGATAAGCTTACTTTACTTAGCCATCAATGCTGACAGCTGCTATTAATTATTTTTCTTTCATAGACATGGCAATATTTTAATGAAACCAATTGCATCTTAAACCGGATAGCCTATTTGTAAAGAGAAGAGAGCTAAAAGTCACTAGAAATGCTATGTAACTGGTACAGATGGCTAGTTGAAATATAGGTTTAGTTAATCAGGTGGTGAGGAAAATTGTATGGTCAGCCACCTTTATTTTCTCACACTTGACTGAAGTATTATTTATCTCAGCTAAGTAGAATGAGCTAGGCTTTTAAGTTTACACCCTTGTGTTCTACTGTACCATTCCATGAACTGTTCAAGATGACTTTCTTGGGCTAGCCATACCCACCAAGTATTGGGATTTTTTATACAGTAAATCCTTATAACATAACATGGATCTGTAAACTCATAGGAAACAAAACAACACATTTGTATTTAAACATGTGAAATGTTATTAGCATAAGCAAGCAAAAAAAAACAACTGATTGCATCACATCTGTGAAATTGGAATACAAACATAATTTGAAGCATTTTAAATAAGGACAAACAGTAAAAAAAATCATTTTGAACACAACAATGGTTAGCTCTAAGGCTCATTGAAAAACTTATTTAAAACATTAAGATTTAGTAACTAATTAATTATCCTTTTGGGCTTACAAGTTCTTTACTTTTACAAAAAGACTAAAGATTTACTTATTCAACTTATTGAATCAATGGTACATAAAATCTAACTAGTATTCAGCTTTAAGCAAAACATGTCAAAAATAAAGTGAATGACAGGACTGTACATGCACACAAAATTACTTAAACTAGCAATGCACAGGTTCACACCAGAAACAATCCATCAAAATGTGTATGTTAAAAACTTATCTTATCAATTAAGCTGGAAAATACGTTAAAATGAAACCAATATAAAGTGAACTGTTTATATCCAATAAAGTAAACTAAGGGAATGCACACAGAAGTTGAAATTACAACAGAGAAATGGAATGAAGACAAGACTGTTTACAAGAGAACCCTATAAATAGTATGGAAAAGATGGATCATGATATTCAACCATGTAACAAAAGATAACAGGAATGTAAGAACAGAATCACTAATGATTATCAGGTGGAAGTTTGATTTTTACTGTCACTTATTAAGTTAAAGCTATGAACATAACTTGGAGAGGTAGGTAAAAAAATATTTTAAAATTGTGTAAGTTATATTAAAACATTATTCTAGATTTCTAAACGTTCTCTTTTATGTATCAAACATATTTTTATCATAAACATTAAAGCAGAAGTATTTGCTAACCCAGAATAGAAATGTAAAATAAATCACTGCAATGTATTGAAAATAACGAGTCAAATAAACTGGTTACAAATGGATCAGAATTAAGTAATTTGGGTAATAAAGGCTTATGGAAATGTAGGAAAAAATAGCACTCACAAGACAAACCGCAATATCATGCAGGAGGGGTAGCTGCACACAGTAACTGAAAACCAAAGTCATTACAACACCACACAGCAAACTCAACAATGCAGCAGCAATTCACTCAAACAGTAATTCACATCAATTTTTTAAGTCTTAAAAACAGTATTTATAAAAAAAATAAAAACAGACAGAAATTAAGAAAACTGCTAATGAACACAAAAATTTCAGCTATAAAATTTTGGATACTGATATTCAGGAACAAAAGAGTATTAACAAAATTTGACTATAAAGGAGTCAACAGTTTGCTAGTGTTGAAAAAAAAAATTAAAATGGGAGATAATCAAAGTAAGGGAGAGAAAACTTTTTGTTCAACTGTGGCTATTCGAGCAAAATAAGTTGCTAGAGTATTTGGATTCAGATTCCGAAGACATTTACCCCAGACATTTTTCAACAAAAAAAATAATATTGCTTTGCTCAAGCAATGCTGTAAGTAAAATATTTGTTCAGCTTTTTAAAAACCTTATATACAAGTGGTAGCAATAGTATATACAAATTACACTCAGATAATAGCCTGGTTCACAACAATATTCATTAAAATAATGCATAAAAATTATAATTGGAAACTTTATGTGGAATAACTTTAAGCATCAAAAACTAGGGACTATGGTTAGCAATATCGTTTTGAATATAATTATATAGGTACAAATTTGAGAATAATGTCACTGTAGACTAGACATCAATGCGATGAGCTATATTTTAACTAAAACAGTGACTTTACTAAACATTTGTATATGGAAGTAGCTTATTAATTTATATCTCAGCATTTATCAATGTATTTTTTGCCTTTTAACAAAACAATAATGTTAAAAAAATTGTATTGGTTAACTTTTTCTTTTCAAAAAAGCAGTTTTAATGTTGGGGTTTGAAACATTATTTAAAAACTTATTCCTCAATAAGGAAACCCTTTAATAAAAACAAAACAACATCATGAAGGGAGAATAAATATCACAGATCAAAAACTCAGGGATTAATAGAGTCATTGTGAAAGATTTGTATGCCATTTTTACAAACAAGATTAGCAGCAATTTTTTTTTGGGGGGGGGGGGGGGGGGGGGGGGGTGGATGGGGTGTGGAGGCTGTGTGACACATGAACAAACTTGTGCAACTCAACCTTGTAAAGCAGTTCTATTATGTCAGCACATATTCAAACAGGATTACAGATCACATACATACATATATATATATATTTAATTTGACCAACCCTGTAGTTGTTTCCGATATTTTGGTGGTATCAAGATTTGCCTCAATAAATATGTAAAAAAGCAGCAGCAACATTCACACTTGCAAACAACAAGCTAAGCTACTGAATTTTGCTGATCCTAACCTATTAACATCAGCTGGAGAGGGTATCCCTTAATGAAGGCACATTAAAGTATGAATGATTTAACAGGATAAAAAAAATTTATGTAAATTTGTTATAAAGATAGAAAATATGGAAGAAATCTATTCGTTTACAATGCAATCAGCGGAATGAAAGCTGAAATTATTTTTATATAGTACAGAAGTTAGGTGATTGGAAGCCAAGGTTATCTCTGGAATAGGAAGTGAAGAACTATTATAACATAAGTAAGATTATCAATGAAGGCAAGTGTTTTCTTGCGTTAGCACCACATTAGAACAAAAAACTATTGTTTTAATAGTGTCCCACCAACAAAATGGTGGTGGATGAGGGTAAAGGCATGTTGTGAATACAGGCACATTGATGAATAGGAAAATAGTTTTAGGTGTGTATATATATATATATATATATATATATATATATATATATATATATATATATATATATATATATATATATATATATATATATATATATATACACACACACACACACACACATAAAAGCTTGACTATCAAAATATAGAGTTCCAAAATATTAGTAATAATTATTATTTTAGGTGACAATGTACAAACGTAGGGGAAGAGCCTGAGAATTACACAAGGGGTAGAGGCATAACAAATATGATAGAATCCAAAGGTGAAGTTGAATCGAGAAGTGTGTCCATGAATTTCTGTAAGAAATTCAATCATCCACTGAGATAAAAATAGAGTTCACCTGTTTCTACAGAGATCTGAACTTACAGACTTTCAAGAGCTGACAAGCACTCTACAACCTGACCACACTATCCCATGAAATAGTTTAACTCACATGTGGCCACAAACCTACCAAGTTTATCTGGCCAATATCACAGGGAAACAGATGCTGCAAAAAAATGCTTAACCCATAAGGCTCAACTGATTTAATGAAACATAAAAGGTTCTCAAAATACAAGTAGATTGTTCTTTTCAATTGTCCATGAGATAGTTAACTCGGGCCCTATACTCCACAATGGGTATAGATGACTTAGTCAATCGACTCATAAAATAGTTAACAAAGTAAATATCTCAAAACATGACACAAGGCCCTTTCACAAAACATTTTTAACCCTAAGTTTACATACAGTATAAAAACCTTATGTGACCTAACAACAATCAGATATATCATAGGAAGATTTTGATTTTTTTGTTTGTTTGAAGGTATCAACTATAACATGATATGTGACTATCTAAAATGCATGTAAGCCAGTAATCACAACCTGTGTAAAACACATTGGTATCAAAAAAATTTAAATAATTTTTCTTGTAAATACATTAAAATTTTCAAGATGGTACATGAATAAAATTCAAACTAACCTTCTTCAGATGATAAAAAAAAAACATTCATTGCATTTAATGAATAAAAAATATTTCTAAATACTTCAATCTTTGAACATTTAATAAAAAAGTTATTAAAACCAATTTGTGGGAATAAAGATCGTTAAAATTAAACAATCATTTAAAAGTCATATGAATATATTTTGATCTGTGTATATAAGAAAAATAATTTTGCAATGCAATAACAATAAGGCACATAGTAAAAAATATATAAATATAAAATATGAGTAATCTTAACATGCAACAATATTTTGATCATACAGTATGATGGATAAATTTACGTTACAAACTTATAGCTGAACACAACTCAAGGGATATTGCCTAGTTAAAAATTTACAAAAATTACAAGTCAAGGTGTAAACCCTCACAAACTGTTCAAATTGAAGATAAATTTATAACCATAAATGATTGAAAACTATTAGCATATGCTCTTATCTATTTGAAAAAAAAAAACAACAGAAGTAAGCAAATATCTTTACTCTGTAAATCACCATCTAAAATAAATAAAAATAAAATATATACCATGTTCGGTATCAAACTTTGGCAAGAAATCATCAACAAACTGAGAACTACAGTTACGAAAGTTGTGTTTACATAAAGAAAAGCATGAAATCCCTGACAATGAAAAAAGTTTTCAAGTTAATAGATTGTGCACATAATGTTGAACACAAAGCTAGTAGTGAGGAGGAATCTTTTATTTTCTATGAGGGTCAATGTAAAACATCTGCCATCTAAATGATCTATTTCACTTTCTGTCATTTAGTAGGATGGTTGAATGAATACACTAACACACTGCTTTCTTTTAACACTATTGTTTCTAGTGAAAATATAACACGAAATTTTTAAAACAAAAAGGGTCTGATTCCCATTATCAAATCTATTTCTAAAATAACAAAACTTTCATAGTAACTAATTTACTAATTATTGTTATTTAATTTAATATTGGTTATGGGATGGATTAATAATGTCATATTTTGTGTTATACAAAATGTACACAATCCACAACAATATACCAGTTCCATTTTTTTCACTTTCTAATTTCCCTATGGATTACACAACCTGAGCATTACAAAACATGGATCAGGATTCCGTCTTTTTAATAGCCTTGGGTGCCTGAACTGGTCTAAACCCATTCTGTTCTTGTCTTTTGAATGGTATAGGCTGAAAAGGTTTTGGTATGGAAGAGACTGGAGGTTTTGTACTAGTTACAACAGTGTCTTTAGGGCTGCTGTCTCCTGTTGATGACTTGGCTGGTTTCACATATTTCACTGGGGATCCTCTGGACCCGGTACTGGACTTCCTCTCACCTGACCCCTGGCTAGTTCTTTTATCTGACCCCTGGCTAACTGAGCTGACCCTCTTGTCCGACCCCCATTGGCTACTTGAGCTGCCCCTTTTGTCTGACCCCAGACTGTTTGAGCTAACCCTGTTATCTGACCCCTGACTAGTTGACCCCTCTCTTTTCCCAGACCCCTGGGTACTTGAGCTGATCCTTCTATCTGACCCCTGTGTACTTGAGCTGTCCTTTCTGTCTGACCCCTGACTAGTGGATCCCTCTCTTTTCCCAGACCCCTGTGTACTTGAGCTAATTCTCTTGTCCGACCCCTGGCTACTTGAGCTGACCCTTCTATCTGACCCCTGACTAGTCGATCCCACCCTTCTGTAAGACACCGGCCCACTTGAACTTACTCGACCATCTGACCCTTGACCTCCGGAGCTTGTTCGTCTGTTGTCCGACCCTTGACTAGTGACACTGTTGTGAACACCCTCAGTCTCTGAAACGACCTTTTGACCTCCTGTAATCACATTAGGTCTGGTTAACCCTTTCACTGCTGCACCGCCATGTTGGTGAACACCGGGTGAGGACCCTTGCCCAATGTTTGAATACCCAGCTCTAGTCTGTCTAGACAAGCTGGGTGAACCCCCACCCAGGTCCCTGTGCTGGGCAGAAGGGGACTGGCCATGCAACAGCTTAGGGTCAGTTGAGCTCACTTCTAGTTTAGCAACCATGTCTGACACAACCGGTCTCTTTGAGGGGTTCGAACTATCAGGCACATTTTGGTACTCATCCGACGAAGGCGCTGATGAGTTTGTGTGGAAGTTTTGATACCCTGAAACATGGCTGCTGAACACAGCAGAGCTTGATGCTGGAGCCACTGGTTTGTTCAGGAGCTCATGCCCTGGGGTGTTCAGGTACCCAGGCTCCGACTCCCTGCTGGGGGTGGGTTTCAACAGTTTCACAGGCTGTGACAAGTCAGTCACGTCTTCTATTTTCAACCTCGCTGGGATCGGGGGTGGTTGATCGTTGGTAGCAGGGGTTAAATCAATTTGAGCAGTGGTAACATAGTTCGGGTTGGTGGCAGTGATACTAAAAGAGTTAATTTTGATTGAAGCGGCTGATGTTCTATTGTCTGTCGGCTGGCTAACCTCAGGAGGGGAAGACACTGTAGTTAAGCAACTAATACGGTTCTCGTCTTCTACATTGTCTTTTTCCTTTGATAAAATCTCAACTGATTTTGAACCTCGCACGCGCCTAAATGATCTACTTCTTTCTGTCATGCGAATGCCTTTAATAGTCATCTCCCCGATGGAATGGAAGCTGTTCTGTCGTCTAAGGTTAGACTCGCTGTCACTGCTGCGTCTCCGGAAGCTAAAGCTGGACCTCCTCTCCGGGGTGGCGCTTCTGCTGTTCCTGCGCTCCGGGGTGGTGCTCCGACTGTGTCCCAGACTCTCCCTGCTGAAGGCTTTCTTCAGGGCTGGGAACAGGCTGCTGAAGGACTTGCTCTTCTGCTTGTGTTGGCTGTTGAGTTTTGTTGAGGATCCGCTGGAGTTGGGACACGAGGACTTGAGAGTAAATAAATGCTCCTTGCTGCCCAGGTTAAGGAAGTTAGGGTTGGATAAAGATTTTCTCAGAGTTTCTTGTTTCGCTCGGGCGTTGACCATTTTCCTGATGAGGTGTGCGCTGGGGGCGTTGGACTGCGGCTTGGCTGGGCCTGACGTGGCGGTGTTAGCTATGTTCATGTAACCAAAAGACTTGCTCCTGTCTCTATAACCATTAGCCTCGGTGCCATCTTGAAACTTCTTCAGCCCTGTAAACGGCAGCGGGGGTTTGTCGCTGGATGATGTGGATTCTGCAGACGAAAGTGTTGAATTCCAATCCTCTTTCATCAGAAACTTTTCACACTTCTTCAGTCTTTCTTTCAGGCCTCTGTCTTCCTGATCTTCCAATTGTATGTCCTTGTCGTATATGACAGTCCTCATGTGGTCACTCAAGTCTTCGCAGCTTGCGGACAAAAGCCACTCGTTGACCGTGCCATCCACAGAATCCAACCCGGATATCCCGCTGATCTGTCTATCTGCCAGCTGTTTATTCCCGAGGGGCTCGTCATCCTGCAAGTTCCTATAACCACTGTCAGAACTGCCATTACCCGTCCTGGCCCCTATGTAACCATTCTGGGCCGGGTCAATACTTTGAAATGACGAGCAATCAAGGTCATCCGCGGAGTGATGCCGGACATGCCTCACTGTTGGAGGGGATAATGTTAAATCTGAGCTCTCTTTAGAAACACTTCTAAAAGTATGAGCCGCTGGCTCCGTTATCATTTCAACAGGCGCTGACCGCTGCCGGCTATGCTGAACAGCCAAGCCACTGGAGCTCCCTTGTAAATTTATATAACCATCTTGAGGCAGGTTACTGATGGATAATTTTGAAACGCTACTGTTGATACTGTGGTCACTGGTACTGATATCTCTCCTCAACGTGGCCCAGGAGGAGTCTGATCCCCTATGCGCTTCAACTACTTCTTTCGGGGCATCTATTGAGAAAGATTTTTTGTTTCGACCGACTTGAAAATCCCAACCGTCTGTGCTAGGGTGGTTTGAACCACCGCTGGTTGGGGACTTGACCCCGCTCTGTTGTAGGGATAACAGATACTCTGCTCGGCCAACCTTGTTTGGATTTTTGGTAATAATTGGAGATTTACTGACCCTGACCTTCATGTTGGGAGAGGAAAGGTGGTAAAACTCTGTGTGGTGAGGTTGGAGGTTGACTCCGGTATCTGAGCTTAGAGAAGACCTGGCCTCGTCTTCTTGCTTTGATCGCGGGTGTGTCGAGAACTGTAACCGAGGTGACTCGGAACTTACCGAACCCCCTTCCACGTCAACTTTTCGCGGAACGCTCTGCTCGCGACGACGACTTCTGCGCGGGGCGCCGTTGTTGTTGGACCGTGAGGGTAGAGGGGGAGGTCTATCCGTGATGCGAGCTTCTTCACTTAGGCGGCGACTAGATGCTGACTCATTTCTGCTTGCAGTGCTGTCAGTCGTAGATTCCCCTGGTCTTTCTAAGTTGATGACCAGACTTGAAGACTGTGTTGGTCTACTGACAGGCTGGAGCTCAGAGCTACAGGGGAGACAAAAATTACTCTTTAGTATTGTGGGTTTAAATTTATTATGGAAATGTTCATGAAAAACACTTTTTTTTATCAAGTTATAAAATCCAAATGTACAACTGACTATAGAAAATGCTATATTTATACAGTGTCTACTAAAATAAAAACGTATTGTTATTCAAACAGCCAAATGTACAACTGACTATAGAAAATGCTATATTTATACAGTGTCTACAAAAATAAAAACGTATTGTTATTTGAACAGCCTACCTGTTTGTCCTACTAGCTGATCTATTCACAGTTTCTTGTTCCTCTGTTGTCAGGAAGAAAGGTTAAGATAATTCATTATTTACAAAATTAAAATTAACATCTCTATGCCCAGAGGCTTTAACAGCTTCAATTTAATAGATGCATTTTTTAACTGTTATTTTATTTAAAACAAATTAAGGATGTTATTGAAATACTATAAAATTAACATCTCCATATCCTGTAGCTTTAACAGCTTTTATCTAATAGATTTTTTAAAACTATTATTTTATTTATAAAAAATGAAAGATGTTATTGAAATACTGTTTTGAAAACAATTCTATTTTGAGAAAAGTTATTTTAAAACTTGTAAAGTTACCAGGTGCCAGGGATCCTATACCCCAATTGTTCTTTAGAATGTTCCTGATCTCTGGCTCTTTGGCTGAACACACAATGAGTGTGGTGAGTGAGTGAAGGCATTCGTGCTCACGCATGTAGTCTTCTATTTCTTCTGGTGTCCCTTTCTGTGTTGGCTGTTTGGGGCAAGCATAGCACAAGACATAAATAGAAGACTACACTACTGAAATTGTGACAAACATAGAGCAAGACATAAATAGAAGACTACACTACTGAAATTGTGACAAACATAAATAGAAGACTACACTACTGAAATTGTGACAAACATAAAGCAAGACATAAATAGAAGACTACACTACTGAAATTGTGACAAACATAGAGCAAGACATAAATAGAAGACTACACTACTGAAATTGTGACAAACATAGAACAAGACATAAATAGAAGACTACACTACTGAAATTGTGACAAACATAAAGCAAGACATAAATAGAAGACTACACTACTGAAATTGTGACATACATAGAGCAAGACATAAATAGAAGATTACACTACTGAAATTGTGACAAACATAAAGCAAGACATAAGTAGAAGACTACACTACTGAAATTGTGACAAACATAAAGCAAGACATAAATAGAAGACTACACTACTGAAATTGTGAAAAACATAAAGCAAGACATAAATAGAAGACTGCACTACTAAAACTACGGCAATGATAGAGCAAGAACTAAACAGACGACTTCATTACTGAAACTGTGGCAATCAAAAAGCCAGAAATAATTGAGAGACTGTGTAATATTAGAACTATTTTAAAAAAAACAGAATTAAATAACTTTATCTGGGCATAAACTTTTTGAAAATAATTTTGAAAATAAGCTCCAATAAATTAATTTAAAAATTAAAAGCAACATATATTTAGCATGTTTATAAAAATTGCCTTACTATAAACTTAAACAAAGAGAAGCTAAAAACAAAATAAATAAAGCCACAAAAGGTTTAGAGTGAATGTGCTATTCATGGTATATAAATGGAGGTAACAAGATCATGACAATAGAAGACAAAATACAAATATTATTTTAAAATAAATTCAACCTCTATTCTTGTTACTAATCAGAAAACAACTCAAAGACCATTCCATTAAAAAATGTGAATTAATTAATTTTAATTCGTGAACAGTTTTAAAAAAAAAACCCCATTGTACCTTGACTCTGTCGAGTGTATTAACAATGTAGCTATCCACCAGATCATACATGATGTCTTCATCTCCTCTCCGAGTCTTGAACTGGAAGAGTCCCTCACCCATTGGAGCAACCCTTCCCGCCTCAATGTTGAAATGGCCTGGTTCAGGGATTTCATAATATCGAATACTTTTTAAAGGCCACTGGGCTAAAATAGCTCTTGTTCTCTAGGGAAATAATTTATCTTATAGATAATACAAATAGTCAAATTAAAATTTAAAAAATATGAGAATTTAGATACAATAAAATGTAACCAAAGTTATTAATTTTTAAAAAGTTGAACAACTCTTTAAGTTATTTACATACCTCTAATGCAAGAGTTAGACCCCATGGGGAAGCATGGAGGACACACTTGGCATCTCTTGCACCAATTTTGTACAAGCATTCTGTGTCTTCTGGTGTGACGTTAATAAGATCTTCTGGGAAACAAACATTACATCAATCATAAATAATCAATAATTTTATCCACTATCTATTCAACATTTATTCTTTAAAATAAATTAAAAATAAATTAGCTGTTACTTCAGGAGATTAAGCAATTGTTTTAATTAATGTTTAAATATTAATATATTCAATAATAATATACAAACTAGATGTTAATTTGATAAATGAAACAATTTTTGAAAAGTTACTTTTAAGGAAAATGTACACTGCTTTGAATAAGCCGAAGAGACCAATGTTAAAGCAAGCTTAATTTTTTTATAAGGAATGAATTGATATGAAAAATTATTGTTTATGCAAAACCTGTTGTCTTTCTTAAATAAATTTTAAACAAGCTTGCTAAGTCCACATTAGCTTTTTCCTAATATTTAAAATAACTAACATACTTCTTATATTGTCCTTTAATCTGATTTGCACTTGTAAGAGAAATACGAGAACATCAATGTCTTTTTCCGCATTGGCAGACAGAAAAATGTGATTATCAGGGGAGGTAATTTCACAAACAAAGGTTCTGCCCCTTGCATTTTTTAACTTTTCAACTTTATAACTTGGCCACAGTTCGAAAGATTCTAAATAAATAGTAAAAAAAATATAACTGAAACAAATTCACTATGTTAATTACTTTGTTAATATAATAATTTAAATAATCAATGCACAAAAATAATTTAATTTCTTTAAAAATATGTTTTTTGACACATTAAAACATGAAGTTATAAAGTGGATTTAATTAAATAAGTTGTCCACAGCTTTACCAGTTATAGTTCTTTCAGGTTTTTTGTTGTTTTTGGGCTTTTTCTTGTGATATTCCAGAACAGGTTTTTCCCCTTTTATCCTGAAGATCAGATATCTTTGTTTCCATGATCCTTCTTTTTTTCCTATTATTCTTTTTCTGGTTTCACTTAGTTTGAAAATATCGCCCTGAAAATAAAAATAAATGAAACAAATAAAAAAATTTTAAGGATGGGTATTTCAAACAAAGTGAATAAACATATGTATGGTAAAATATAATACGAGTAAAATGTTGGAGAGTATGTTGGGCAAATATTATGTTTAGTTTATTTTTTTTAAAAACATAAAATAAAGAGCCATAGTCATAATTCAAACATTGTCTAACGAATCTGAGATAAATTTGCTGACAAAAGTTGTATGAAGATTAGTTAAAAAATGATCATTACATGATATTGATTAAAAAGTAAAATCCAGATAATAAATAACGATATTTTAGTCCCAGTGAATTGCACACAAAATGTTACTAGGTATACCTGCTTATGGAAAGAATATAATGATACTTAAAATACATAAGTATAGCTAAAGGTAATACTTGAACATCTTGGTGATACCATGTTATGTAACCTAAATTAGCATTTACAAATAATTTAAAGTACACATTTAACCACAGAACATTTCTAGATCTTTTCTAAACTTTAGGTGACTTAAGGAAAACCATAACTATGTCAACTACGTGCGTTGAATTATTAAATATTTATTTCAGCTTTAGTTGGCCTTTTAAAAAAAAATGTAACCATTATGCCCTAATTTTGACTAGGTTTTACACTTTTTACTTGGAGGAGAGAGATGGAAGAAGAAGTGAAGGCTACTGGCAAAACCTGGAATGAATTGAAGTGACTCGCCCAAGACAGAGTGGAATGGCGAAGATTTGTTGAAAATTGTTGCTTCCCTATACTCCACAGGGAGTGATGAGGATTAAGGAAGGAAGGAATTACTCATTAGCTTATATAGTAATATATAGGCCTATCTATAAATAATTAATTTAAAGTAAATGTCTAATTTACTGAATTAAATTTGTAGGCTAATTTTTTTTTAAGTCTTCATGATTAGGCCTAAATCCTAAATTTTTTTTGTTGTAGTGTAGGCCTATCTATTGGCATGTTGGACTATTACTATTATGAGTATTAGTATTAGGCTTTAGGGCCTAATTATTTTTATGTTATGTAGTAATATGTATTATGTAGGCCTATTAAAATATAACTTTTTATTATCAATATCACATTAGGCATAGGCCTAATAATATTATTATGTTATCAGTAGCTATCTTTAAATAAAATTTGGCCAAAATGTGTCAATTCAGCATTTCTCTGGCATAAGTATCGACGATCCCCCTAATTCATCACACCTGTTGGTTGCTAGTCTCAGTACTACACATCCTTAAATAAGGAGATAACTCTGTCATTCCTCAAATACCTTTCTAATCTTCACTGCTATACTTTCAGTTTCGCAATCTTTATGTTCAAGTGATTATTTACCGTTAATAAATGAAGATTATAATCCCCTTTAAGTTATTTAATTTGTGTTTACTAAAAAAAAAATTCGTATAAAATAAAAACGAAATTCGACCAAATTCTTAAATGAGGAAGACGATTATGTAAATAATTGTTACCTGGTAAACAACATCATCCTCGTCCTCCATATTGTTTTGATTTCCGTATAGTGACGTCAATGGAAACTCTTGCCAGATTTTCATTATTTTACAGATTCAGAAACATTTATTTATGTAATCTGTATCGATCAAATATGTTCCATGTTTATCTAATTCGTATTACAAAGTACTATATAAATAAATGCATTAATTATGTATATTAAAGAAAAGAAAAAAGTTCTTTTGTTTTTAAGGTTGAAATAGTGTAAATAACAACAAGACAGTTAGTTTGCTATTTTTTTAAGGGATGCGTATCTTTTTCACGTCAGCTGTTAATAATTATTGTAGGTTTTTCATTTAGTTCATGGTTTTATTAATCATAAGTAAACTAAAAGAACAAAGAATCCACATCAATTATATTTTTATAGTTTAAACTCATTCGTTCTACTTCCATTGTAAAAAGACATTGTAGCGGTAACCTTTCTAACCTAACCTGCTGTGAAGTAGAGTTCACGAGGGGTCGAGGCCTGGATTCGAACCACAGATTTTCTTGTTAACAGTCGACCACGCAATAGACAATATGGCTATGAAATGGGATTCATTCTTTAAGTGAAATTCTTCTATCTCAGATCAGTTTCAGATACATGACCTAGTTAAATATTTTATAAGAAAAACAAAGTTCAAGCTGAGCCGTGGATCACTTGTGTAGGGTGGATGTCGAAACATTAGGGGAGGGTGAAGAAAGCAAGTTACTTTTATGCTGGCTTCATTAAGTGCCTTGAAAACTAACAATCTGATGTGAATCATATATATATATATATATATATATATATATATATATATATATATATATATATATATATATATATATATATATATATATATATATACATATATATACAGTGGCGTAGCGAGGTCGGGTGTCACCCGGTGCGGCACTTAATGGTGTCACCCCCCAGAGGCGTAGGGATCCTTCCCGGGGACAAACTTTCAAGTTTTCGATTTGCACCCCCCCCCTCAAACTTTCGATTTGCACCCCCCCCCCCCCCCTCAAGTTTTGCTCTATATATTTTGCTATTTTTTGCCATGGTGTCACCCCCCTAAATGGTGTCACCCGGTGCGGTCCGCACCCCCCCCGCCCCCCCTCGCTCGCTACGCCCCTGTATATATATATATATATATATATATATATATATATATATATATATATATATATATATATATATAGTTGCTCTTTTTTACTAGACCTATTTTATTTTTAAAAATAATTCAGTTGTCATCTGCTTTGCATAAACTTTTTAATTCTATTTGTTTCAACTTAAGCTGATACTCCACACAGCAGACAAGTAGACAATAGAGAATGAGATGGTTGGGGGAGGGAGTGGGGGGGTCGACACAACATCATCGCCTATTATACACTTTAACAATACCATCTATTTTCATTCTCTGAAAGAAAGGTATCAAGCTAAAGCAATAAGTGTTAGCTATTCCATGATTTTAAAGCAAATATAAAATATATTCTTTTGCGTTTTATTTTGCCTACTTAACGTAGACCTCTTTGTTCGTGTCTATATTATTTAAATTATATTGCAATGTTATGTTTCAGACTCAGGCAGTTGCTGTGTCGACTTGGTTTTAATTTATTTAGAATATCAGCGTAGTATATATATATATATATATATATATATATATATATATATATATATATATATATATATATATATATATATATATAAAACTTTTTAAACATTATAAACGAGCCGACCCGCTGCGTATCATACGCCGCTATTTAGTTGTTTTTTTCTACTTTTCAGTAATTTATAATTTGTGAATTCGACAGTACCAATGCTGCCATTGAAAATATTTACTTAAAAACACTACCCCCCCCCCCCCCCCCACGTGAAAGCAGCCTCCTCTTAGTTACCTCCTCTAAGTTTAAAATCGTTTCAAACTAAATTATCTGCCCCTAATAGCCGTCACCAAACCCGTCTCTGTGATTGTAAAATGTAAACAGAGTGAACACAACTCACCAGACAATGTGGGGGCGGGGTTGGGGTGGTTGTGATATTGATATAGAGGAAGAGAGGGGACTGTAAGGCGATGTTGCAGCTTGTTTTCTAACGGCTCGAAGAAGAGAATTATATATATAGATTATTTTTCAATAATAAAATGCACTGTAGGCCCACATCTAAAAACAAAGTGAATGGCAAACTGGCAACAAGGCTCAGCCCTCTCGCATTTCATTTTAGTGGTACCGAGAGTTAGCGAGAGTGATTATGCCAGCGAGACATCTTCAGTGGGGGATGGCGACATAAACAAAACCCCCCGTTACAAGTGTACCCTGGCAATTCCAAAAATGTTCTGGAAATATCTTATAGTAACGCTGTTACTGGTTGTACCCAGCAGCCGTTTTCTTACTTTGGCAACAGCTGAATTCTCCCCTGGTGAGTAGTGGTTCATTCATCTGTGTTCGATTGGCTTTATTTACAAATTTCTACACACTGCTGCTGACTGCTGGCGACTGCTAGTGTTGCAGCTGATTTTTTGTTTTCTTTCTTGCTGTTGCTGTGTAACCCACTTGTTTTGGTTCTTAGCTCAATCAAATAGTTTTACAAAGCTATGCATCTTTGTTTGTAGGCCTAAATGTTTATGATTGTAGTAGATCTAGATCTATGTACTATGTAATATGTATGTAAGATTCAGATTTTGAATAGGCTGCTCAGCAGCAGTGCTGCTACGGGTTAATTTTAGAAAGAAGTGCATAAGAACTAAAACAAACTGAAAGAAAAAAAGTGTTACTTCTAAGTTATAGTAGGCCTAATAGTTTAGACTACATCTCACTTAAAGGCTCAGGCTAGGCTCTAATTGATTGCATTGGTAGTCAGTTAACTACAGGTTATACCTCCTGATTAAGTTAATGTCTGGATATGGTTTTTAAAGTTTAAGCCTACAACCTAGGCAAGTCTACAGTTATGGCCTTGTTTTAAAATTGGGCCTTGAAGAAATTAATTATAGGTCAATAGTAGGACCTATAGTAATTATTCAAGTACCTCTTGTATAGGACGTTGCTATTTACAAGTATTATGATTTATTTTCTTACAGACCTAGAAAATGAGGTAAAAAAAAAACAAAGGCAGTGTAGGTCATTGTATTTTTGTTTACTCACTATTTTATTACATAATCCCTTTGCTGCCTGTTGATTGATTTTTTATACATCCCAACCTTGCAATTTTGCAATCAATAATAGGTGTTTTCAGTGTGCTAATCTGTTGGCACAGGTGCTGTTGATCCACAGCCACCTATGATCACAATACAAAAACAACTCACCATCAACCTCTTACTACCTAGATAAGTCATTTCCCATGTCTTGAGTTCATAGTCTAGTCCGGTGGTTCTGAACTATTTTGGAGGTACATAACAGATTCAGATGAACATTCACCTAATGTTTCTTACTAGTTTTATCATCAGCACTAAACAGATCAGATAGTGGATCATATGAGTTTAGTGTGTATCTTGACCTTGAGGAGCCCCTTTGACTGATTCACCGAACTCCTGAGGTTAAGAACCACTGGCATAATTCTTTCACATGAAATGGAACTTAAAATGTATTTATATAAATGAACAACAATACAAAAAGAACAACAATAATATTGTGAAATCACTCCCAAAGTTGCTGTCACAACAATTTTAATAGCTGTGGACCTAATGATGATAAAAACTGAATAGCATCTTAACACGCTTATCAAATTGATTTAGCATAAACTCACTATTATATGAACTTTTTATATATATATATTTTTATCATGGTATATTCATGTATACCTTGTGGCTTCTAAAATATTACCAACAAAATTATAAGTGCATAATGGCAAATCATTAAAAAATAGCTGCTCAACATTGCTCTACTGCATGTTTTTAGGGTAAATTAGTTTTTTTATATAGATCTGCTGAGTTTACTCAGGATACCACTGCTGATATGTGTTATACGATATGTTATGCTCAGTGTGTAGGAGACCTCTGGCCTATTCAATCTCCTACTTCTTCTTTTGTATGCCTAAGAGTGTAGATCAGAGATGACAGTTCACCTCAGATTATGATTCGCGACTGATTTCTTTTTATGACTCAGGTCAGCCTCCTACATCTCTCTTTCAAAACATTTTTCTATGTCAAATTTGGTCTCCCCCCACTCCTAAACAAACAATCTATAGTAAATTACATGATTACTATAGCGTGGTTTTTCACTGTTAAGCATATACTGTTTTATGATATATATCTAGTACAATTTTTGTGTTATTGTGAAGTGTCTTTTTCTCTTTCTAGTTGAGCATACTAGGCCTATATTTACCTTTTTCTTACTCCTGCAGTTAGGGTGGCCTACAAACACCCCTAAATCTTTGTCTAGGTTTCTTCCAGACTTTTTTCTCGGAGGGGGGGGGGGGGACGACGACGACGACACTTGTAAAAGTGTATGTTTACTATATAAAATCCATCTAGTTCGGGGGGGGGGGGGGGGGGGGAACGGTAGACTTTTTTCGGGGGGGGGGGGGGGGCCTGCTCCCCGAAGAGATGCCTGGAAGAAACTCTGGGTATACAGGCTGCTAATTGATGCTGCTGTTAGTGTTTTTTGGTGGCACCATTACCTTTTTTCACATTGAACTGTTTGTCTTTTGTCCACAGATCTGCGTATCATTATCAGTATATATTTTAAAAATTATTTTTATCTAACAAGACTTCAGATTACAAAGTGTTCACGAAAAATATGGGGGGGGGGAGGATGTGATCAAAGGGTTTAGAAGTATATGCTTAACTACTACATAATCGTAAACTTTCATACCACTGTTATTGTGAAACTACGACACTATTTACCACTTGCAATTTTGAGGAAACAGAAAGGTGAAATAGCCGGTCAACGCTAGAGGCGAAATGGCGGCAATCATGCTAAAAATAGACCATCCCTGGCAATTCTGTTACGTCACGGGGATGAAGCGTTTTCGCAGAGGGCCCTTAGCGCCAAGGCTGGGCTACATTTTAAATCCTTGGCAGCAGACGGCCTTCCTGCATTGATTTTTGCTCAAAAATTCGGCAGGGCTTTAATTGCACATTGCGCATGTTAAAACGAAAAACGATGTAATTTTTTTTTTAATGAAAGCATTATACTAGAGTGAGCGAATAGGGCCTTCTTAAAAACTATGAAGCCTTTTCTTGTTATCTGTTTGTGTTTGTCCACCGTGGATCCATTGTGATATGTCATGTTGAAGGGGACATTTGAAGTAGCTTAACCTAAACTCAATCATAGGGGTCGTCCACAAATGACGTCACACTCGTAGGGGAGGGCGGGGGTCCGTAATTTTGTGACGGTGTGTGATAAGGGGAGGAGGGGGGGGGGGGGGTCAGATGGTGGGACGTCTCATTTTTGCAGGAACAAAAAGAAATGTTAGAAAACACATTTTAGCCGTTATTTCGCGTTTTAGAAAACTGTTTTAATAAATTGTAATAGGAATTTATTAAAATACTCTATGTTGAGAGAGTTCAGACAAGAATTTGGAAAAATATCGATGTTTTAAGAAAAATTAAAATGCTATTTAGAGGGGGGGGGGTTGTAGGCTGAGGTGTGACGTCATTTTAAGGGGGAAGATCGTCTGGATTTTTGTGACGATGTGTGACGGAGGGGAGGGGGGGGGGTCAAAATCGTCAAAAAAGCGTGACGTCATTTATGGATGACTCCATAGCCGTAGATCACTTAAGGAGCTGCTTACAAATTCTACGGACAAATAGACAGAAGACTTTTTGTGAGAGTTGTGTTTTGTTTTACTTCTAATTTATCTCTTGCACCTATTTGTGTCACTTGGCTTTCCTGTACTAACGTGTCTTTTGGTTTCCACGTGTGTCCTAGTTCAGTGTCTTCAGACCTTCCTGCACGTGTGTCTCCTGTTTCTCCTGTGCCGTGTTTTTCCATCAGGAACCTCCACGGGGTGTGAATAATTTGGGGGGGGGGGGGGGCAGTGCCTGGATGTAATACACAATTTATAGAGAATATTTTCTTAAAAAAATGTCTCCCCCACCACCACAACTACTCATCTCCCCCACCCCCAGTGAAAATTATTCGAAAGAAGCCTGCTCCTCGTCTTATATCTCCCTTAGCTGGGAATTATTCACCCGTAAATTTCTTGTTTACCTGTAACAATACCTCTAGCATTGAGGTATAACACATTAACACCCTGCAGCGGTTTAACCAAGATATTTGTATATCAGCTTGATCTTTCCGTTCGCATCGACGCCCGGTCTTGTGTTTATGTGAACAGTGGCGTTCAAAATATTTTTGTTATGCGCATGCAGTTATGGTTCATTAGCATTTCTATTATTGTTTGACACTGCAATTTTAAACTTATGAGAAGTGGTGCGGTGATATAGAAGAATTTGATAGGTGGTGGGAGTTGGTGGGTAAAGACGGCACCCGTGTTTCTTTCAGTCATTTCTTCCCGAATGAAATAGAATTTATATAGACATGTATACTTTTAGTGTTCGCAGCCCCTGTAAATTTAATCCCCCTTCCCCCGAAAGTTTCAAGTACTCCCCCTTCACGGAGAAAAAAAGTCTGAAAGAAACACCGGATGCCACTTAATGAAATATAGATCTAACTAGAGAGCGCATCATTTTGGGAGCCTTAATGTGTAGGCACGTGTTGAGGCGTAGTGACTTATTTCGGCGCCCGAGGCGAACTATCAGTTTCTCCCCCCCCCCCCCCCCCCCACCCCTCTCCCCCAATTTGAAAAAGGTATCACACAATTTGATTTCGAAAACAGTGAAATACAGTCCATTTACTTAAATTGGACTGTGTATACTCCAGTAATGCAGCTAGGATTGAGCTTTTTTAAAGATTTTTTCACTACTCCGTTTGGCGTCCCTCCTTCCCCACCCCCCACCCCCTTCCCGGGGCCGACCGCTTTTACAATGTTGGCTATGTTTTTGTCCGGCCTTTGAACACATAAAACGCTTTGATCTATGCCTGATAGGTGCACACATTAACTGCGGGACTCTACACCAATACATGAACTACTTTAAGTAACAATGCAGCATTGAATTATAGTTAGCCTCGCAATTTTTTTTTCAAAACCTACTGGATATAGATTTTTTTTAAAATAAAATTTAATTAGTTCTAAAGAAGAAACAAGTAATTAAAAAAAGTCTAGTGACAATTTTAGCGCAATTTCCTTGTGTTATCTAAAAATAGCTCTGTCGTAGCGTAAATCAAGAGCAGGGTTAGTAAAACCATTGGTTAGTTATTAAAACGTTTTTTATTAAATTTTTTTTCAGTATTTTACATGTTTTATTTACAATAGAGTAACATGACTAAAAACCATTGCGCGCCCAGCTACCGAACGTGACGTCGCAGCCATTGAACGTGATGGCGCAGCTATTGAACGTGATGACGCGTGTGGTGTGG